CTTTCATGGTATTGTATACTCTAGCGGCACCTACACTTGCAGCGTCAGCTATGTGATTGTGCACACTATTTATTTTTGTTGCATTGTCGCCGATTGTTATCACTCGAGCGTAGCACTTTTTTAGAAACTTCACATTTCCAATAAACTTAATTTTTAACAACTTTGTCTTTAATAAACAAATAACCCTCGATCAATAATTTGTTTTTGCCATTTTCACTTTCATGTTGTTAAACCGTTACTATTAGTCCGTTACCGTACTGATGTCTGTATTCAACTAAAAATTTTGGAAATAAATTCACGTCTGATTTAGCAAATTTAATCCTTTTTCGATAGGTTTCCGGGAAAATTAAATATGAATAATGAGAATCAGTCTTATTTAGACTTGCGTATTTTTTCTTAAAACTATTTAAAACAAATCGGTTTAGAAACTTTTATTGCTTGATAATTACGGAACCCCGCTGGCAAAACTGATCACAGCGACCAAGTGAAGAATACCCGAAAACTAATGAGAAGATTATTTGAAGATAATAGATATTTAACTGCACTCGTTAAAGGCACATTTAATAATTTGTATTTGTGTACATTTATTTTAGTAACTTATTTTCTTATGTCGAGATATTGTTATTCGAGTAACTAGGCATTCAAGGAATTGTCCATTCGAGGAACAATTTTTCGAGCAATTTTCTTTCGAGCAATTGTTTTCGATCAATTTACACCAAACCGTAGATTTTATCTCACCCAGAGTGGTATCGTCAAATTCAAAAGTTAGGATTGACGAACGAATACAAAGATAAAAATTGGGACATTAGAAAATGGCTTCATTATTGCTTTGAAATATTATTTTTGAAACCAGAAGATATTGATGGATCCGTATAATATTAGGGATGTTGGAAATTTAAAAAAAAAATGTCAACACTAAAAAGTATTCATTCCATATTATAGTAATTTCAAAAAAAAATTAGCGGATAACTGAAAATTTTTTCGAAAAACTTATTTGATGTTTATAATCTAATATCTTGTCATTTTCATAGAGTTGCCAATAGTTTCAGTTCAGATTTATATCATTTTATATTTTATTTGAAATGTCCATATTTCGTTGTGATTTTACTATAACCTTAATTTCAGCCTCTCAGTATTACGTAATCGTATTTATTTAACAATCAAAAGAAAATATGAAGAATTACTTTTTTTCATTTAAAATAAATATTTTACAAGTATAGTTAAGTCCATCCGTGGACAAATTGTATAATGCTGTAGAAATAATTCACATTATAACATCTATAAAACGTTTCAGAACAACTTTCTGGGGAAAATACTGTACAACTGCTAGTGTGATCTTCTACCAACTTCACTTTGTAACCTCTATTCGGTGGTTGCATTGCATGCGTGCTTATGTGCTAGCTTGGATGTATATTTTTTGTAGAAAAATAAAATGTCAAACGGAATGCAATCTTGAGCATGTTCATGATATTATTCAGATTATTTTGAGCGTTGGAGACAAGTTAGGGGGACAGCAATTTTTAAGCGTATTATAACAAATGTAACACAAACGCACGTATTATAAATTTTTGAAATCGTGCTTCAAAGATTTTTTATTTAATACCCCGCTCGAAGGCATCAAAATGTATTTCTAATTTTTAATTTTCAATTTTACCCCTTTCCCAAATCAGATTCCTTAGATAAATAATGTTGAGGAGTTTGATAACCTTCTGGATTTAAATAAAAAATATTGTGAATTTTTAAAGTTTGGCAACGGAACAATTTTGGTAACACAATTCTGTTTGAAACTTCTTCAACGTAAGCCACAAAGAAGGAAAATAAAAAAAATTCTTTAAATTTACTTGGAGAAATGACTTAATTTGTGAATATCACTTATTGGTAAATCGCTGCTATCAAACCAATTTAATTTAAAAAATAATAAAATCATGTATGATCACCCGGTATAAGAAAAAATTCGCGTAGCATCTGTTAAAAAGAATCACAGCTTTGTTCGCGGAAACAATTATGAACTAACTCAGAACTACTAATTAACACAATTTTGGAAATATGAAAATGTATGATCCCAAATTCCCCCTACGAAATTATGAAAAATGCACCCTCATATCCCCAAAGTGAAAACAAACCAAAGAAAAATTGAAAATGCTGAGAATTAACGAAAAAATGAATACATTTTCCAGGGATCGAACCTGGGACCTTCTGACTATAGCCGTCCATACTCTTACCAGTAGAACCATCGAGGTACCTGGTTTTTGACATCCGAACTCGTAGATTTGAAGTCAATCAGATTCCGACTCTCGTCGGCAAAAATACAAATTCTAATCTCATCCCAGCTCTCTCAATTCATCTCAAAGCCACCCTTGTGACATCGCGTGGAAAGGACGATAATCGAATTGCACTAGAATACATTTCTAAGAACCTTTATTCGTTCATCAGCGTTAAGACTTTGAGTACGGTCCGCCGTAAACGTGAAATGAGAAAAATCGGTTGATATCCAAAAAACTGAAATTTATTTTCAGTTTTTCTGATTTTTTACCATAAAATAAATATCTATTACATTTCAGTATTTCAGGTATCATCAATATCTAGCCCATTTTACAGCGAATACAGACTTAGAACGAAAAAATTAATTTAGTTTTAATAACTGCGCATCCGAAAATTTACTATTAATACAGAGTCAGTTGACAATTCACTCTGCGAATAATAGTATATTATTAAACGAGCAATTTATGGTAACCATTATTCACGCAGGGTGACGTTTGGGTCCCGAGCCGTAGGCGAGTGGCGCAAGTCACCCGAGTGAATAATGACCATAAATTGCGAGTCTAATACTATAATACTATACTTTGGAAAGTTTTTCCATTTTTCGATTTTTCGATTTTTCGATTTTTCGATTTTTCGATTTTTCGATTTTTCGATTTTTCGATTTTTAGATTATTCGATTTTTCGATTTTTCGATTTTTCGATTTTTCGATTTTTCGATTTTCGATTTTTCTATTTTTCGATTTTTCGATTTTTCGGTTTTTCGATTTTTCGATTTTTCGATTTTTCGATTTTTCGATTTTTCGATTTTTCGATTTTTCGATTTTTCGATTTTTCGATTTTTCGATTTTTCAATTTTTCAATTTTTCAATTTTTCAATTTTTCAATTTTTCAATTTTCTGATTTTCCAATTTTTCGAATTTCTGACTTTTCGATTTTTTTTATTTTTCGACTTTTCAATTTTCCAATTTTCCAATTTTAGTTATCTATCGGAAATTGCCAGAATTAAAAAAGCGTGAATTATCATAATTCACTCTAGTGATATATGGGTACCATATGCTTTTAGTTAGGAGGTAGAATATTGATTTATTATTAAGTGGTCGTAGACAAAACTAATTTATCACACTAGTTGTATAAAATGGCATTTCCTAACCTACAAGATTTTTATGATTTTGATTAATTTTTAGGTCGATTTAAAAAAAACAAAAAATAATTTTCTAGTATTAAAAAACAATTATAACTTAATAAAATATGACTAAACAGATCACATAACCAAACACAAACTCATATTTATTAAATAACTAAGGATTTAACAAGTTTGAGCAGTGTATACCTAAATTATTATGAACTAAAAATGCATATAAAATAATGACCTATTTGGTGGTCAGAGTAATTAATTTATTTGTACCTACACAATTTTAAGAAAACAACGCTTGAACATTTTTAACAATAAACATCTTCTTTTACATAGGTACTCATATATAAGTATGCATAGACCTACCTAAATACAAATACATACATTTATATATTTACTAAATACCTAATCGCTTTTTAATTAGTTTGAGCACTATATACCCCATTGTAAACCAAAAATATGCATATAAAATACAGACCTACTTGATTAGAGTATCTAATTTGATCATACACACATAGATACATACCCAAACACAAATACATATTTATTAAATACCGAAAGACTCATTAACTGGTTTGAGCAGTATATATACCTAAACTATTGTGAACTAAAAATAAGTATATATTCGTACACAATTTTAAGAAAACATTGCTTGAATATTTTTAACAATAAAGGTGACTAGGTACATCATCTTTTACAAACCACCAACATAACTATGCATACTTAGGTACCTATACCTATCCCAACCCAAATGCCTACATACCTATTTATTTACGATTGTAATTAATTTGAGTAGTGTATATTTGTTTAAGAGTAATTTAATTATACACAATTTTACGAAAACTATACTTGAACATTTTTAACAGTAAAGGTGACTAAAACATCATCTTTTCATTTTATTTTCCCAATAATGAAACTTGAAAAATCTATTTTTATGAATAACAATATTTAGATTAGTCTGCCAAATTATTTCATGTAGGTAAGTAGGTATGTATTTCAAGGCAATACTTTTTGTGTCTACTAACATTTTTATAGAAAACTAATAAAACTTATTAAAATTACAATAATTTACCTAAGCAATTCAAGATCACATTTTTGTAAGTAGGTACTTAGGTACAATATTTAAACTAAACACAGACTTGTATATAAATAAATCACTTAACAATATTATAAAACATATATTTTAGGTACTTCTATTTTCTCAAAAATCAAACTCGTACATAAATTTAACTTTACGAAAACCTTACTGCGCATACCAGTATCAAACAATTCGTCGTCCTTGAAATTCCTAAATTTAAATCGAACAAAAAACTTATTTAATAATTACAATTTAAGATCACATTCTAGGTACAAAATTTAAACTAAACACAGACTAATAATATATAAATAAATCGCTTATCAATATAACTAAAATTGTTATTTACTTTATTGTCTGAAAAATTAAACTCGATCAATTTTTATTTTTATAAAATCTTACTATACCAGTATCAAAATCATTAAACTACATACTTTTCGTCCCCCTTGTATAAATCCCGAACTAGCTCCGAACATACTCGACGGCAGCTTGTCGAATGCAATCTTCACCGCACACTCCGCAGCAGTTTTATTCCGTTCGTCGAGCATTTACAAACAACGTGTCGTGTGACTTTAGTTAAAATGGTGTCAGCAAATCCAGCAACTATTCTAAATCTTAAAAACATTTGTAGATTGTGTGGTAACAAAATGGAATTAATGTGGATATTCGATACGAAGTTTAATTTCCCTCAACCTATGAAAAGTATTGTATCAGCTGTTACAACGATCGAGGTAAGTCTGTCTCTTTATATAAGTCGCGTACGAGGTCAGTTTTATAATTTTCGTCACGTTCAGATATTGATATGAAATAGTTTGAAGTTTGATGTGGTTTATCTTATGTTATGTTGATGGCATTAACGTAATATTATGTTTTTAAGTATTTTCAAGTGAAATTCGACACATATGTTTTATTCATCTTTCAAAAAAATTAATAAAAATAAACATTATGTTTATTATAAATAAATATAAGTACTTGCGCGATCTATTCCAAAAAATATAGGTATATCTGATTCTAAAATAAGTCAAATTTTGGCTTGTTTTATTTAGTTTTACTATAAATTTGAAAAAGTAAACTCAGTTTTTGGAATAAAATTGAATAGTTACTTAAGTTACCAGAGTTTTAATTTTTCATGTTCCAGAATCTTTTTTTTGTATATTGGAAAAAGTAAACAGCCTGTATAGTTATAGGCGAAAATGTATGTAATTAAATTCTTATTTTTTCTACTGAATATATTCTGATTATTCGGTTATGTAATGGAAATTAATGATTATTTTAAAAAATTTGAGTGAATTAAAATTGGGTTTTGTTTGTAGGCGTAAAATAATTATTTTACATGTTACCTATCTAATAATGAAAGTGCAAATTTAAAGAAAGGTAACTACTTGTTTTATTTGTGATTTTAGTTTTTATTTTACTTCATTTAGTAGGTAAGTACTTATTACTTCTATAAGTTTTAAAATAAAAAAAATCGAGATTTAATTGAAGTTTATAATATATTTTTTTTATGAAAGTGTTGTAAAAACATATTTCTGAATACATAATAATATATCTAACTGGGGTTTTAGAATAAAAAAAATGTATCTATGATGAAAAATTTTTTCGCTAAAAATAACATTTTTTTGACCTCGTTTCTTCTCAAAATAATTATGTCAATGTTGAAAATTATAAAAATAGTATGTTATTATAATCACTGTTTGGCGAAGTTCAAGAAATCGATGTAATGTGAATTTTAAAGCTGCATATAACATTCTCCAGCTGATACTAAAAAAATGTGAAAAGGCACCGTTTGGAAAAAAAATCCTACAAAGTAGACTAATCTGCGCTTGCGTCTAGTCAACGTGGAGTGGAATAACTCGAGTATCGTAAAGTAGAACAACCAATCACAGCAACGAGCGCATGGCTAGAGTGAAGGCTTTCGCTTCAGATCGAGAATTTTGTTATAGGCAGAGAGCAGATTGACTTGGAAGTGATTGGAAATAATAACATTAAGTGATGTTTCAATTGAAAATAATAATAACGGTGATATTTTTGTGTTTTATAGTAACCGTAATATTTTAGAGTGTGAAGGTGACTGTGTTCTTTTTGAATCTGAGTAAGGTGGTGTATATTTAGAAACAAGAGCTTAGACTAAAGAAGAAACGGGGTCATTTGAATTATCAGGCTCAGAAAATAACTTAGGAATACATTTCCAAGATTCGAAATGTATCTAATATTGCTCAAGAAAAGTAGCCGAAAAAATTTAAAGTGTGATCAAAAGTGAATAGGATTAGATTGCATATATTAATGATAAAAATAAATTATTTTTTTTACATTAAGAAAGACAATCATTCAGTTCTAACATGTTTAGATAGTTCTGCTCGTATACATGTAAAAACTGAGACTTTCACCTTTCCTAAGTGCGTAGTATGTACTTAAATAAATAATATTTGCTAGAAAATAGTAATTATAAACAAAACAGATTTAATTTTTGTGCTAAGATTAATAACAAAATCGCATATTACTATATAAAAAAATAAAGATTTACGTGTCATAAAGGAACGTACCAGGGGATTTCATAATGAAAAGTATCCATCTGATAATAATGTTTATTCGTCTTAAAACATACAAATATATAAAATAGACATACAAAAATATAGAATGGGCGAATAAAGGTGAATAATCACAGTAGTGCTAAACTACTTGTACGTGATATATTTAAAGATATTTAAATAATGAGAAATATATTTTTGTTTATCCGAAGTTTAATATTTTAATATAAAAGTGTTCACCATTATGTTGGATGAATTATTTTACTTTATATTTTAATTTGTTTAGTTTGATTTTATTTTAAATTTCAAGTGAGATTTAAATGAAGATAGTGATAAACATGGAAATTGAATTGCAAGAATAAGAAGAGGTAATAGAGGAATTAGAAGAAAATTTATTTTTATTAATTAAGTGTTCTTTTCAATAAACTTTAGTATGTGATTGTTGTTCTATTGATTTTTAAGTTTTTGTTTCCACTGAAAAATAAAATATATATTTTTCTTTATTTCTGTCTTTAAATAATACCTATCTGCTTATTTTTTAGTTTACTATTGCTATATAATATGTTAAAAATTGTTTTAAACATTTCAATAAATATGTTTTCAATATGTAACAAATATAGTCAATAACATTATTGGTGAGACAATCGCTTTTGTTTGCATTGTAACGTACATTGAAAATTTAACACATCACAGAGGACCTGGGGAAGTGTATGCATGCCGTCGATGTTTTTCCCAGATGATGCTGTTCAAAAGTTTGTTGAAGAATTGAAATTGAGGTTGGATTCTAAATCTTATATTTATCTCAACAACTGGGAACCCAATGAGTATATCCCTGACAGTTCAGTTAGTAAGATAGGTATATGTAGAATACGGGTAGGTGGGTTTGAATCGCTGCGAGGACAGGGTTTTTCAATTTTTCATTAAATTTGTTTTCACGGAAATTCAAAAATACAATTCATTATTTCGTAGAAGTAATTTTGGGATTTGTTTGGGGATTTCCAGGGAATGTATTTCGAGCATTCTTACTGGTAGTTTCCAGGATATGTTTAAATTTTCACTGTTCTGCGGAAATCTGTAACGCAGTTGTTTACATGATTGTCACTATATATTAAGAAATCTGAAAAATCATTTTTTATATATCATAGCAATTCCCCTATTCTCTGCACGATCTCACTCTTATTTTCTTATGTTTCTATTTATATAGTCTTCAATAATAACCATGTCCCACGCATTGAAGTGGAGTGGTGCAGCCATTTTATTTTTCATCTCACTTGGGAGTAATTATAATAACAATTTTCTATTTTACTCTAAACAATTTCGAATCATCAGTTTGTGGACTAGGAAACAACAGTGTGAAACAGAAAATGGTTAATAATAATACTCCCACGTGAGATGAACAATAAAGTTAGCACAAATTCTTATTGATACAACAAACACATTGGTATTCTACCCCACTCATTGATCATGTGATCTGATAAAACAAGAAATGTAATGAAAATGGCACCTTATGTGTCAGTTCTGACAAATAAGCCAGTGGCATTATTTTAGGATTAAAACTTATTATTTTACAGATGTATCTACTTATATCTTTCTCGTCTTCCACCTTAGTTATTCAAAACAGGAGTTGGAAGATTTTATGAAAAAATAACGAAACATTACAAAACGTAGAATATGCAATGAGAGAAAACATAGGAAATAAGGTGAAGTGAGAAAATCAATAATGTGATTTTTCAAAACTGAAGGGTAAGGGAAAAAACAGACGATGTCACAAAACTGACTTACTGAGAAAAATTAAGTTTATAATTAATAGTATTACCAAATGTTATGTTACAGTCATAGAAATAAATAAAACTGCACGTTAATAATTTTAACGTAATTTATTACAGTATAGTTAACTTGTTATAAAAGAATTTAAACGTATGATTATTATATTCAGGTTCAAAAAAATATACGTGTTAAAAAGGATTGATTTCCATTTTAAAACTAACCTAAAATAAAGAGATTCTCACCTGTATAACAATGTTTCATAAAATTCGTTAGTATTTGGGTGACAAAATCGTTTTTGTACTTGCAAATCGTTTTTTTGTTTGGGACTCGGTACCTATCACCTACATAACAAGTTCATTTCTTAAAAATTCATATAAAATGGACATCGTTGGTTTTTCCTCTTGCCCTTCAACTGTTTTGACTTTGTGTTGTGAATTATATTAATACAGAAAAGTTTGTAAATTGAGCTAAATATATATTTTGTTGTTAGATCACTGGCAGAGCGACAGTTTCCTACTCTGCTTCTGCCTACAATCTCTAATCTACCAAATTGTAGATGAGATTGTTGCTTTCATTTTTTATCCCTACTATGTGCCTACTTCAGTTATCATTCACAAAAAAAGAACTAATAGACCGTCAGATAGTCACCGATTTAGGTGCCCCATTTTCGCATGCAAGCCGCGAAGAGGGTTGAAAAGTACATCGATGTTGAGTAGAATAAAACAAAATTACTAGTGGCTCTTGGGGATAATACATGCAAAACTCGATTGTCCTTATCAGAAAAATTTTCCAAATCCAAAATGCACTTATAAATTCAGGTCATTCAAGAAAATATATTTTTTTCGGACTGGTGACGATGTATATTAATAGACGCTTTGTCACCACTTATACAAATATCCAAATAATCTAAGAATGTAAATTTAAAATAGATTTATTTCAACACTGAATTATTACTGAGTAAGACTAATTTAAATAGTTCTTAGGATGCTTTTCTTTCTTGAAGAAGATGAAGAAAAATATGAGGAATTATATTTTTGTTTAAAAATTTATCAAAATAAATTTATTTCATATCTGGATCTTTGTTATTTTTACCTTTCGATTATTTCAGTTTAATAAATTAACACTATGCACGTTTTGATTTGTTGTAATATTAAATTTTTGAACAATTGTACGGCAGCACTATTTTTTATAGTATTAATGAACACCCTATAGTTAAGAATATAAATGAAAAATAAAAGTAAATACAAATCATAATATTCCACAATCTTTTTTTTTACAGATTAATAAAGAAGATTTTCTTTCTCAAAAAATATGCTCAAAGTGCGTCGCAAACGCCATCAAAATGTACCAGTTCCGTGATGAATGCATAAGGCATGATAAAGTTATCAGGGTAAGGTAAAAATTACACGAATATACAACACTACGATGATTTATTGTTTTTAAAGCTGTGAATATAATTTTGTATGATAATACATAGGTATATCAAGATGTAATTTTACTCTTTTGATCTTATGCTCATTTTAACTCTATAGGAAGGCTTATGTTGTCTAAACAGTAAGTCACTCAAATTGAATCCCGTAGGTAGGTTTATACGCTTTTATATGTTCGGTTAGTATCTGGTTTATATTAATATAAATTATTTTATAGTTTCAGTCAATAGTATTTTACTCAAAACGCGTAAAGCATTTATTTCAAATTCAATCACATTCTTTTAAATATATTTACATTCTTTAAAAGATTTAAATATACTGTATGTATTGATTTAAGCAATTGAAACATTAGTTTGGGGGTTGGGTAATTACCCCCATTAAATATGTGTCTGGAACTCAATGAAATAATATTGTCAAAATATACTATCAAAATCAGTATTGATTCAAAATTATATTCACGAAGAAAACATTAAAATTAATGGTAAAAATCCATTGTAATGGGTTATAGGGAAAAGGTCGCCTAATTTTAACAATTGATTATGAAGAAAAAAGCATATATAGTTTTGTCCTAAAATCACAGTTTTTAACATATAAATGAATAAAAATCGTACATTTATCACTGCATAGAAAATGAAACAAAATTGTAAATAAATGTACTAAAACCAAATATTAGAACTTTATTATAATTTATTAACTCAAGTTATATCGGACAATTTCATACAATTGAATTGGGCCCGAATAACGTTTAGGTGCCGACATTTCGCAACTTTCGTATTTTATACAGAGCAATTTAACTTACAAACACACATGCCTCTATGCATACATTCATAATCTTTCAACTAATTTAATTCAACACTACACATAATCGCATGTTTAAATGGGTGATTAACTGGATGCTCACATTCACCCATAGGTCGCTGGTTCAAATCCGACTCGAAGGACCATTTTATGTAGCAGAAGATAGATGCGTTATCCTCTACATAATAAAATGTTTCGACTGTGTGAAATGTATGAATATGCACTAGTTCTTTACCACTGTATTGGGTGGCTACGAATAAGAAAATCACCGGCTTCACTAAAAACTCCTTTATTTCATTAGTAAAATTTTAACATGGCACTGATGAACGAAAATTAGTAAAGCGAACAAACAAATAAATAAATAAACAGCCCAAATGGCTAGATATGTTGAAGTATTTCAACATCAATGATTATGGATGTTGTCGATAGTGATTTCTAATGTGACAGTTTTAAATTACAATAACAGATTACCAACCATTGGTATTATAATTTAAACCTTTTATTACATTATTTCTTTTATTCCAGTTTTCTTATCAAAATTCGTTTATTATAGTCTTTCGGGAAATAATATTTGGTTTTTAAACTATTATTCTCGACTGGAATGATGCTTTTTTTTTTCCATAATTTTTCAATGATAAAGGTGGATTCACCACATGATTTTAATCATCAATTTCAATTATTCTTTTTTCTTTATTTTTCCCTACACAAGTCGCTCAGTCGACTTCAGGGGTTGAAATTCACTCGTAAGGGGGTGAATTAGGGAGATTATTATTATTATTATTATTTTTATTATTAGATTCAAGATTATGTTAGGGTAACTATTCATACTCAATATTTTATATTACCACAATTACCAACAATTCGCCTTTCCCTTATTCGACAATTTCGCTTTTCTCATGCGCGAAAAAAGCTTGAGGCTTTAGAATTTATTAATTTTCCAAACACTTTTTACTATCTCTCTCTCTTATTCTCGTTGGGTTGGCTACGACAATTGCCTTATGTCATCGATTCTATATAGTAGGGAGCCAGTGAAACTTTTTGTGGTACACATTTGCACAAGACTAAATTATAAATTTACCGTTAATTCCTACCCTGTAGAAGATGAAATTACTTTGTTGCAATCGATCTAGCAGTGAAATGCCTTGTCAGCAAGCAAGAAGGTACTGTGAGCCGAATTTCCAGAAGGTGGCAGCAATAATATCTAAGTTTCAAGTTTACGCTTCTATTGCAGCATTTTATACACATACTTTTTTAAAACGTCATCGTCGAGGGCTCCATCGCTACGCAGTAAACTATTTCCATGTTCTACAAGGTAAGAATAAACGAAATATTTGTAAAATTTGCAAATAACACCTAAAAGTGTCAGTGGCTCCTCTACCAATATTAGCAAACGTAAAAAAGTGGCGAATGTGTAAATGGTACTCAGTAATAGAGGTTATCAATAACGGGAAAGGTCTATTACCAATTTAATTTCTGTGACAATTTCAACATATTTACTATTTTCATTAGAAAGTATTCAAGGTACACACAATTCAAATACAAACAAAGGAGCATCTGTTTCTTTCAAATTAAGTTGACAACAAATAAATAGATTGTGGTGAGAATTTCTAAAAGGATTTTCCAACACCTCAGGCTTAAATGCTGCTATAACCAAAATCTGATAGGGCGAGAAGCCTGTTTTTTAATAAAATATCAAAAACAATTTACAATTACATATCAAAATTTGAATTCCTTTTTAAAACCAGTTTTTTAATATAACGCAAACATAGGCAGATGAACACTTTAAAAACCTAGTGGTTCCGACGCTTTTGTAGCCTTAACATTAGACTTGAGTATACAGCTATATTTGATCTTTTTTACTCTCTAATTAATTGTGTGAATTAAGCGTGTTTTATCCCTTAAACCTTATATATATTTTAAATTATGATTTACATATTTTAGGAACAACTAGAAGAATTACTTAAAACTGATGAAAAGCTTAGAAATTCTTTGTCAAAAGAAAATAAAGTCTCACAATTACCAAAAAAAGAAGAAGAAAAGACTGCTCCTCCGGAAACAAAAAAACCTGCAGAAAAGTCCTCGGTTAAAACGTACACGTTACATAACAGCGTCAAAAATCTTTTCAAAGCGTACCCTCAACTTAGAATGCCTGCCATAACTCTTAAATGTGACATCAATCCTAGCGTCATAATGGAATTGGATGCTGTGGAAAATTACTTTAAAGTTAGAGAATTAAATATAGACAGATATGTTCAGAAGACTTCGAAAACACCGAAAACAGTAGCGATTAAGAGTACATCAGCACCATCTAAACGTTTGACGAAAAATCCGTTCAGTGCAACAGATATAATTGCTAGACGAATTAGTAATAAGGTAATAAAAAATCATCCTGATCCTGAACCTCCAAATCTTCTGAAAGAACCAACAAGTAAACGGGACAGGAAAAGAAAACGACCTTTTAGCCCCAGTACCACACCTAAAATTTTAAAGAAACCACTCATAGAAGACTCAGTTAGTACGACCTCCTCGTTAAGTCCAGTTCCATCAAATTTCAGCGAAGATTTTTCTGACGTTTGCGGCATAGCCAAGAAATCTCACGAATTACACGTGTGCAACATCTGCAATTCCGTTCATTATCACGCAAAAGAATTGAAGAAGCATCTGATCAAACACTTGTATTGCCAGTTTTGCAAACGCAAATTCAAAACGATGGAGATCAAAGAAGAACATATCGAATCGAGTTGTAAGATACAGAAAGCAATGAAGGGCATGACCATTTTGCCCGATGTGTATCTAGTGAGGGTCGAGTTAGATAAGAAAATCATACAAAAATACGCTAAAGCTTTAATTGAATTAGAAATTAAAAATGATGTTATAGAAATTGAGTCAGATAAAGAAAATAAAAATAAAAAAGAATCTCCGATCATTAAAGATGAACCAAATAATTTCACGCGCCCGAAAATTGAAATTACAGACGGCCTTTTAAACAAAATCGTACTAGATAACAGCCACTCCACTGATGTAAAACTTCTGAAAACTCTTTTAAGTTCTTATAACAAGAATCTCAAAAAAAATGTTAATTTTAATAAAAAAGTCAGCAGTCAAACTCAAACCATATTGCCAACTAACGAGTTAATCAAAACCCATCGGGAAGATGGTTCGATTGAAATGCAAGCTATAATACAACAATTGCATTATTATAAAATTCCCATGCAAATTAAGTACGGTACGATTATTAACGCATGTTATAAATACGATTGTAGGAATGATGAAAATAAGGTAGTAGAACATTGGGATGATCTTATTCCAATAGATCTTCCAAATGAGAGTAATCAAGTTTCAAGTTTACAAGACTACATAAAATCCGAAGAATTGTTTATTGATGATATTCATCATTCGCTTATAATTGCAGATGAAGAAATTGATGATGATAATGATGTGGATATTGAAGGGATTGAATTAGTCGATATGGAGACAGATCAAAATATTACCGAAGGTAATAATCATTTGACAGAACCTGCTAAAAGTAATGATGATAATGCTGAGAATGAATTAGATATTGAAGGACACGGTTCAGTCAATATGGAAATTATTGAAAATGTTAGTAAAGCCACTTCTCCTTTCTATAATCGTTTGATAGTACCTACTCAAATAAACACATCAGGTAGCACTGTAAATTGTGACAGTAACTTTTGCCAAAAAGATTTAATTAAAGAAATTAACAATATAAAAGATATAAATGATGATCGACAATTATTTACTTCTACAGAAACGTTTACTTTGAAAGATGCTATGTCTAATATTGATAGAAATAAATGTAACAGAGATGCGGCTGATACATTGAAAGAAAGTTCTGTTCCAAATGGTGACGTTACAGAGGTGTTGAACCTGGATAACGAATGTTCCAGCTCTCAAGATGATTGTTTTGACGAAATCAGGGATGCGAGAGACCGTACCAAAGAAAATGGATGTGGTGAAAAATTACACGATAAAGCTTTGTTAATTAAAGAAGACGGAGATGTATTGTATAATTCGCGTGTTAGCAGTGATAATGGAGGAAAATACGAAACAAATCCGTTTGCCGATCCACTCTTTTTTGCGAAAGAAACGGAGATGAATCTCGATGTTGATGATTCTAATTCTCCAGTTAGAACTGAAGAGAGTTATATAGCTACATCTTCGCATTCTAATGAATCTTCAAATAGTTTTCCTTTTATAAGAGTAAAGACTGTTTTTGAATTGACTCAGTAATGTTATATAAATATTTCTATACATTTTTTAAATTAAGTTTTTTTTAAGTTTTTACTATAACTATTCCTGTTACAAAAGTAATGAGTTAATTGTTTTTTAAATATTAAATCCAATGTTAGATAATTTAATTTTTATAAAAAAAAATAAAATCATTTTAACGAAAAATCGGCTATTTTATTGAAGCTCCCACTATATTAAATCCTCTAGACATTTCTTAGTGCCTACAATTAACACCGCAGGAGCGTTTCATTGGTTAACTTATCGGTATTTAGTTTTGTACTTAAATTTCATAATATGCATCACTTATTTTAAACAGTATTCCCAGGCCGGACCTGTACCCAAGATAATACTCGCATTCCAAAGCTTGCTTAGCAAAAATACACCTGCACTCAAATCCCACACATTCAAAAATATTGTATCTCCTTAGTAACAACTGTTCTCTTGCTTCAACACATTAGAATCAAACTATATTTCATGCAGTCACGTACAACAGTCCAGAAACATTCCAGTACACTAACCAACAACCTTTGTCTTACCCATGGAACTAAAAACATTTCGTCACAAAAATGCCAATCCAGTGTCCACACGCTGTATCGAAGCAGAAGAGTCTATTATGGAATGAGGTGGGGGCAACTTTAAGCAACACTGTCGCACACTTCGTCTCAACCAGCACGATGCCTCCAATAGACAACTATCATTCCTCCGAGTCACCTTTTAAACTATGAAGAAATTACATTGTTCATAACGACTCATAAAATGTAACTACAGGGTAATCTGTAGGTACCGTACCTTCTAGCCTAGCTGGATGTACAAAGCAACAACTACCAGATTGTACTATTAAATTTTTTAACCCAACGTTTACATATGTAATTAAAAAGTGTAAACGTTCCCGTTTTTAAGTGGATTAAACGGAAGTACTTTTCATCAGTGTTTCATTTTTATAGACATGTATTTTAAGTACACAGTCAGTCAAAAAACTGACTTGCTTTTAAGAGATACATTCACATATGAAAAAATAAAGAAAGATCCAACGACGTCTATTCAAAATAATTACAATAACTTAATTAAAACCTTAAAACAAAAAAGAATTGACCGAACTAAAAGCCAAGCAATTAACCATCTAGAATTCATCTTTCCCTAAATTATACTGTCTACCAAAAATTCACAAGCCCAATGTGCCTTTACGCCCTATAGTCAGTTCGATAAATTCCACTAATGAAATTTCAAAATTTCTTTCCAACATATTAAAGGATGCTTTAATAGATCGGACCAACTACAATATTCAAGACTCGTTCTCTTTTGTCAACTTAGTAAAAGGTATTACTTTACCAGACAATTATGTTCTGATCTCTTTGGATGTCGTTTCACTGTTTACCAACATTCCTACAGATTTGGTAATTGACATTTTACAAAAGAGGTGGAATATTATTGAAAAACACTACTTTATCCAAAGAAAGCGTCTTAATTCTCATCAAATTCATAATAAATAATACCTACTTCAGTTTCAATAATAATTTTTACCTGCAGAAGTTTGGAACTCCAATGGGTTTTCCTATAAGTCCTATTTTAGCTACAATAGTGTTAGAGTTATTTGATAGTGTAATTCCAATGTTACCGTTTAATTTACGCTTCTTGTATAAATACGTAGATGATATGATCAGCGCTATTTCAGCTAACAAAATACAAACAACATTGAATATATTTAGTTCCTTCAACGATAGATTACAGTTCACAATAGAAACCGAGAATGAATGTTCTGTGCCTTTCTTAGATACCAAAGTAATACGTACCGAAGCACAAAAAATTAGTTTAAATTGGTACCAAAAACCAACCGTATCTGATAGATTTTTAAACTTTTCTTCTAACCATCCAAAAATTCAATACTGTAATTGCTATGAAAAATAGAATCTCACACATCAGCGATGACAACTTTATTCAAGACAATCTCAAGAAGCTTTTTGACAGTTTTGTAAACAACGGGTATCCAAAGAACATCTTAAAGAAGTTAATATACAACACCAACTTGTACGATGGTCCCACAGATGAAGAAAAACCAACTACCTTAATTTATAAAAGGATTCCTCTAATAGACTCTTTAACTCATCGTATTGCACCCCTGTTCAAAAATAAATGTTCCCAATTTAAAAATTGCTCCTTACAATCCGATAACTATCAAGAACATATTCTCAAAAGTAAAGGATAAAACACCAACGTTATTCAACAGCAATGTTGTTTACAGTTTGCCCTGTTCAGGGTGCAATGGATGTTATAATAGGACAAACGGGACAATGGTTGAGACAAAGAGTCACTCAACACAAAAGCGATTGCCGTACCAAAAAAAATACATGTGCGGCAGTGGAATACCATATCAATACGGGACATGAATTTGACTAAACGAAGATCAAAATTTTAGGAAAAGAAAAATATAAGAATACGTTATTTCTGGAAATGTACTACATTAATAAAACAAAAAACACCATAAATTATAAATCTGACATTAATCAAGGAAGTAACATTTATTGTAATATTCTAAATCAAATATTAAAAATCATTTAGTTTTATCCCACTATAATTATTTCAAGTCTACAGTTTTTAATTTTATCAACTTATTTAATTTTTAAAGTACCCACCACAAAGCACATAGAGGTTCCATGTGAATGACCAAGGTCAAAACCGACAACTGACATTTCTTAGGCTATTGACTCCAAACTCTAGATGGGGCTACTGGTGAAATTATGATTTCTTACTCCATTTTTAGTGTTTATGGGTCACGATGAAAGACAATAGGCGTTTCAACTTCCCTAAAATTCCATATAAAAACAAAAGACGATATGGCACCAAACAACGTAGTTACAAAAAATTCACCAGAGGTCGTTAAAAGGTGAGGTACCCGATTCGATCATATATTGATCATTAAGATTTAGATAAAGTATATTTTAACATCAACATGTATCCAACTTCAAGATTTGGCCATCAGATGATTAGTCAATAATTTGACAGGTTATTAAACTAATGTTCACCAGCATGACATATACTATATTTATGAACAAATATAATTGTATTTTATTTATAACTCTAATAATTTTGCAATATTATTTATTAAAGTTAGTTTAAAGTAATGCTTTTTTCATCATTATTGAGGTCTAGTTATTGTTGATCTTAGATATGAATGATGTACCGGTTTACCAATTTTTTAAATGTGTATATGTGTACATTTTATTAGAATTAGCAGTTCGACTGTTCATCCGTATATTATAAATGTAAACAAGAATGGAATGACTGAGATAATTTGTTCTTTTTTTACATTTATAATATGGCGGATACTAATAAAATTTCCACACTTGAAAATACCTACCTTTCCTTCGTTTTTCTTTATCATTCTGTGTGTAGTTACACCTACAAACATTTGATTTATTTTGTAAATAATTAAAGTTGTATAAGTTAATGAATCTATTGAAAACAATTCTCTACGTTTATATTTAATAAAAAGTTTATTACAACACTTATTCATAATAGGTAATTAAGGTTTACAGATCATTTTTGTACCTACCCTTTTCATCAATTTGCCTTGTAAGAACCACATTTTATTACAATTAGGAGATCCCTTCATGTGAATTTGTTTAGGACTGGTAACAAAATAAGCATGTATCTTTGGAATGTGTTTATTAATTTTCTAAAATGTGGCAGTTATAATTTTATACCTACTGTTCTGTAAACATAACATCAAAATGGCACTTAACACTTATTTTTTCAAAACCCATTTCAACAATATTTACAATTTTGTAGGAAAGAATACACACTATTTTTCTTATTTAATTATTGCTGTCTTGTACACTATGTTGTATAGTATTGTTCTTCTCATTTTCACTTTCCATATCGTTTGTTATATAGAATATTATTAGTAGGCATTAATAAATTACCATTATTTAAAAAAAAAATTGGATACAGACGTATTTTTTACTCGATTAAGATAAAATTAACTGAATTTTTCTGACAGTTCGCAGTCATTATTTGTTTTCATTTGAGGTACTTCATCTTCTACCGACATCTAATGGATTTTTTACTTACTATGCTGTTATTGGTGCCATATTTTAAAAAGAGTTGAAACACCTATAAAATGTCATTCACCGGGTTATGGGTGAAAAACTTAACCAAAGAATCCAAAAAAGTGACGTGTATTTATTTAAGTTTTTGGTTAGTCTCATTTTTCTGTCTGATTTTAGTGATTTTTTTTGTTGGCTTTGGCTTTTGGTTTTTGTGTAGAGTTTCGTCTTAGTTATTTGGAAAATTGTGATGTTTTGCTTTTCTATTTCCTACTGTGTTTTGCAATAATTTTGGTGCTATGTTGAAAACTTCGAGAAAAACTTCATTGATTTACCATGCATCATAAAAAGACAAACGGGTAATCGAATTTATCACTGGATTAGATTCCGAAATCATTTTTTATATAAGAGAGTATGCCAATCTGTATTTGGAAGGAAAATATTTATCAGTGAATGAATAGTTAAAAGGATTCACCTTTTAATCCAATACCTATATTATATTTATCCTTCAGGTAAAAAGACATTTATAAAATAGAACTTTAGTGTTAATAAAATGTTATATCCTAGCTTCTATTTCACATTCGTAAAAGATAAGACCCCCTTGTGTGCCTACGAGTATATCTACAACTACTTTGAGTTGAAGTGTTTATAAAAGTAAGTATCAACCTAATTAATATTAATATGTGCCTAAGATATTTTGGAAAAAATTAACTAAAGTCTATTCCAATCCGAGATTCAGCGCATGTAAATAATGATCAGCGCGTGATCACCTCGTGGCTTTCTGGAATCTGCAATGCTATTGGTCAAACGGCCATAAACTGCTAGAGCTGCTCTTTACTGTTTTGATGCAGATGCGTATTCAGATTCAGTGCGAAGTGCATCGTCGTTAAATGTGTTGTTTGAATTGAATCTTTTTAAATACCGTTACCTTGTAGTTTGAATATTGTGTTTTATTTAAATACTTTCGAAGTATATTAAATAACAGTGTGTTTGCTCCACGGGCATATCCCGAAACTTTTTGTGTATTGTTTAAATACTTTTTTTTTCTGTCCTGGGCTCGTCTGACTATGTGTCTCCGAATAACACTGAAGCCTATTGGCTTATTGTGTTTTACCCCATGTTAGTTCATAGCACCCACTCTGTCACCCTTTTAAGTACTTGTTTGGTATATTAAATAAATTATCCAGGACACTTGAACATGTCTATCACGGATACAGCTGATGAGTCTACAGAAATGTATTTGTCTCCTCCTAGGCAAAGGTCGAAAAAGTATCATTTCGACATAAAAAGCAAGGAAATGATATTAAACGTTTATAAGCATGAGACTCAACAAAATCCAACATTACTTAAAGATGAAATTGTAAACAAAGTGACAAGTAAAACAGAAGTGTGTGGTCGCAGCGTCTACAAAATTATCAAAGAATATACCACTAACCATACATTTTCGGCGCCAAAAACCAACCAAAATCGTAAAAAAATTTTAGATTTGGTGGATGACTTTGATAGAAATACAGTCAAGAATAGTGCATCAATATTTTTTTAAAAACGAACTCCCTACTATTTTTAAGGTACTTAAAGACATCAATGACGCTCTGGACCTGCCAAGTTTTAAACGCACTACATTGTATAAATTACTAGCTGACCCGGCAAACGTTGTTTTGCCATGTATATTGTTTCTAGGAAACACTTTTTTAGTTCAATAAAAATAATTATCTACTATAAGTGTGCGGGGATGTACTTATAATGAAAGCGTTGTAAACAATGAAAGTATGCTTTATTTAGGTTAATAAATTAATCTTTATTAAAATAACGAATTTATTTTAAATTGCAATTCTTGATAGCTATCTAAACATCAAAAATAATTATTCATATTTGTACTATTACGATTGCACAGTTCAAAAAATTCGGTGAGCGTAGTTTTTGGTGGATTTATGGCACGATCAAGCGCTGTATCGTTCGTGAAATATACGCGCTGACCGTTTTCAAGATGGACAGCTAAATGGATAAATGCTGGATCCCGTTCATGAATTGGGGAACCGAAAATACGCCAGACAGCTTCATTGGAACTGATATACTTATGCCAAAATAAAATGTGAAGTTAAGGTAGAACTGTTAGACCTGTAGAGACAGTATAGATGGGGAAGTCCTTCAAGAGATGAACCTGAATTCTGATAATTGCTTAAACACTCAAATTCACTTAAATAATCCTTTATTCGAAAATCTGTGGGAATAAAAGCAACTAAATTCCTTTCCTGACTTAGTAGATCCTCAGTGTTTTAGCAATGGCTCCATTATAAACTTAATTCGTAATTTCATCATTTTGATTCAACGGAGGAGCATTTACATTAGTATTTTCAATTCTAAATACAGCCATATCACTTCCTTTATTCACATACTTGCAAATATATTTGACTCTTCACCGAACTGCATGACTCAACATTAATATGAGCATTGAATGTTTTGCTCAGCAGAGTTGAATAATAATATGTTAACTATAAAGTTTTTAATTAACAATTAAAAAATGGGGGTTGATTGTAGAGGGGTGAAATTTAAGGGTTGTATGTATTTTTGTATGCTGTATCATAAAAAAAAAATTCGTCTAATAAATAAAAAAAAATTAGGGGTGGACCACACTTAACATTTAGGGAGTTGAAAATTAAGGGTTGTATGTATTTTTTAATGCCACATTATAAAACAATTTAAAAAAAATTTTATCCAAAAAATTAAAAAAAATTATCCAAAAAATAAAAAAAAATTTTTTGGGAGTTTGAAAGATAGATAGTAGCCGATTCTCAGACTTACTGAATATGCATAAAAAATTTCATAAGAGTCGGTCGAGCCGTTTCGGAGGAGTATGGGAACGAACAAAAAAGATGTATATATGTGTTCACAAAATGTTTAGTTAAGTTAAGTTATCTACCCTTTGTATATATCCTAACTGTTTCCAAGTCTATCCGTGGTCCTCTTGTTTGTCAAAATCGCTTATAAAGATCCATAAGCGTGTAGTGTCCTTGTGAATCCTAAAATAATAAATAAAAAAAATAAAAAAAAAAAAAAAAATCAAAAACAAAAAAATAAAAAAAAAGCTGTAATTTGGTAAAAAAAGAACTTGTAAATACTGTATTATATTATTATTATTATTATAATTATAATGTAAATAAAATTAATTTGTAAAACTAGACGTGAGCATATTATCCTTACTATATGATATAAAACTAAGATAAAATTTAATCTATGTGGTTTGGCGAATGGACTCAGTTCCCGCAGTCAAAAAATTCAAATTAAAAAAAATGGGAACGAACATTGTGACACGAGAATTTTATATATTAGAAGAAGATTGAAAACATTAAATTTCAAATATCAAAAACGAGGAAGAAATAGCTTGCTTATAGACAGGGATGAAATAGTGCTATGGAGAAGAGAGTATTTACAAAAAATAAAATCCTACAGGAATGAAAATAGAAAGATTTATTTTGTAGACGAGACTTGGGTAAATGCCGGATCAAAAATATGGGTTGATAATTCTGTCACTTCCTCAAGACGGGCATTTTTTGATGGAATTTCAACAGGATTAAAAAATCCATCAGGTAAATTATAGTCGTATTATATTATTTACTTTCGGTATATGTATATTTTACAATTTTGGTATCTATCCGGCTGATTGAATAATACTTTAAAAATAAATGAAAGTACATTGTATCGGGACATTTGAAACAGTTGATATTCAGGCTTTTCATTGCACGGCATTATTAAGATGGCTGACATCTTGAGCTGGTTTATTTGTATGGGTATATACTACAGCATAAAAATGCTTTTTTTATTTTAGGTAAAGGAAAAAGGTTGATAGTTTGCCACATTGGAAGTGATGACGGATTTGTTCCAGAGGCGCCATGGGCTTTTGAATCAAAAAAAAAAAACGGAGATTACCACGAGGAAATGGACGGAAAATCTTTTGATAAGTGGTTTGAAAATATTTTGCTGAAATTGAATAATAAGTGTATTGTTGTATTAGACAATGCCCCGTATCATTCTAGGAAACTGGAAAAAATTCCAACTATTGCATCAAGGAAATCTGATATTCAAGACTGGCTGCGTACTAAAAGTATACAATTTGATGAAACATTACTTATAGTGCAACTTTTAGCATTAGTTAAGGAGCACAGAAAAAAATATGATAAATATATCATCGACGAAATGGATGAAGCTCAAAATAAAATTGTTTTAAGGCTACCACCATCTCACTGCCAGATTAATCCCATTGAGTTAATTTGAACTGACATAAAAAAATTTGTTGCGGAGCATAATAGAACATTTAAATTTGCTGACATGAAAAACATCTTTTATAATGCGATAGCTACCATCACGTCAGAAAAGTGGAAGAAATGCATTGATCACGTGCAGAAAAAAGTGGAGCAAAAAATGTGGAAATTAGACAATATTATAGAGCAACAAATTGAACAATTTGTAATAAATGTGAATGAGAGTGACACGTCTTCTGACGAACTAGAATGGCAACAGTAAATACAATAATCTTCACTCAATATAAATATTTGTTTTTTTTTCACGTTGACGATTGAAAATGCTATTCCAACCTGTTCTAACTTTTTTAAATATTTGTTTAAAATTAGAAAAATGTGTATGATGGCTTCATAAATACCGCTCTAAGTGTCACCTTGTATATTTTTAATATATTTTCTTCCAATTTTCGTTGGTATTAAGGTATTGAAAATTTATATCTCTAAAATTCTTAATTTAAATACCTACAATAAAACTACATTGCAATAAAATATTGTCCTCATTACGGCCCTGGTCAAAAATTACATTCGCGTGCTTTTGTGTACATTTACTGAATCTCGGATGCGCTAGTTCAGTGATGATGTAATTATGGTTCCACTGACAATTAAAGTGACTTTAGATTTTTTGAGTGTGTTTTTTTCGTTTTGTTTACCTAAATTATATCGTTTTTTCACTTTTATAAATATATTCCTAAAGTAAGTAGATAGCATGTATCAAATATACAATCGTTTAGTTACGAATTACATACCTTTAAACTATTTTTTATGACCTGTAAACAATATTTTGAAATAAAAACAGTAAAAACGTATATGTCAAATTTATTGATGTTTTTGTTAAAAGTTTGGTTAGAATTAAATGTGCTTGAAGTAAGTTGCAGGTAACAATCATTTTGAATGTTTACTATCATAACTTTCTCTAAAAAATGGATCAAAGAAGAGTTAACGAGTGGTACAGATGTTTCAAAGAGGACCGTGAAGAGGTTAAAGATGACGACCGACCTGGAGGTCCTAAAATATCAACAACCGCCGACACCGTGGAATAAGTGAATAAAATGTTGCTGGAAATTCGTCGAATCACTATCTAGAGAGGTTGCTGATGATGTCAGAATATCATTTGGCTCATGTAAAATCAATTTTTTCGGATGATTTGGGCCTAAAAGTTTGTTCCAAAATTGTTTAATTTCGATTAAAAAAAAAACAAATTGCGTAGACATCGCTCTGAAATTACTGAGTAAAGTCAACAACAATCCAGACTTTATAAAAATGGTCATAACAGGTGATGAAACTAATGTGATGTGATGACAAAACTAAGGCCCTAGAAGCAAGTGATCAAATTTGAAGATTCTCGTCACTATTTTCTTTGATTTCAATAGCGCAATGCATCATGAGTTCCTGTTATATGGTCGCACTGTTAATAAGGAATCCTATCTGAAAGTTATGCACCATTTGCGTGGAAAACGCACAGAAAAGTGTCAACATCACAAGTGTCAGTTGCAGCACGCTAACATGATCTCACCTTACTAGTTAGTCGTGATTTTTTTTGGCAAGAAACAAAATGGTTATTTTGCATCAGTCAGCTTATTCGCACAACATGCCCCCTGTGACTTTCTATTCCCGAGGAGACTGAAGAGAATCATGAAAGGACGACATTTTGTCATCACTGACGAGATAAAAACAGACTATACCGAAAAGTGAGTTCCAGAACTGCTTCTAATAATGAAAAGAGCATTGGCACAAGTGTATTTAATTTCAGGGGGATCATTATGAAGAAAGAGGACAAAATTGATATTGATTAATAAAGATTCTTTAAGAAAAACTAAAATTTCCATTATGTTTTGATCACTCCTCGTATTGTTGCGTTCCTATGCCTACACCATTTATATTTAACGGCCCTGAATATGATATAATGACAGAGTGAAAAAGTGCTAACTAACAAAGGAACTTCTTTATTTAGACTAGTAATTTTTATCTTACTTTTCCATTAAACAGAAGCAAAGTTATGTGAAAGATATTTTTCCTATTTTAATGAAACTGGTGGTTCCAGTTCCCAAATACAGTCTACGAAGAAATTGATGATAATAATGAGTCTTAGCAGTGGCGGCTTGCTGCCAAAATTTTGGGGTTCACAATATAGATATCAGTACAGATGTATGAAAAAACTTTCAGTGTTTTAGAAAGTTTATGATATACCTTTCTAAAACACTGACAGTTTTTTACCAACATCTGTACCGAGATCTATATTCTGCTACTGTGAACCCTCAAAATTTTGGTCACGAACCGCCCCTGAGTCTAAAAATGATGTAGATAATGAAGCTATTGAATGTTTAAAAGGACAGTAAAATTTCAACATATTTTAAGGTTACTGTGTAGGTAATTTTTTATGGGATTCCGAATATTTCCGATGATATACAATTCTTGATGTATCCGTACGCCATATTGTTTTCTCTTGTCTACATATTTATCGGCAGACTTTTTAGTCGACTTTTCCTATCCAGAATCATTTGCACTTAAGTATTTATTAAGAAGACCAAAAAATATATACAACACAAAGTGTAAGATTTTGCTAAATTTATTAAAATAAACCACGTTTATCCAATAAAGATCTACCTAATAATTTTGATTTTCCTTTTCTTTTGGTTGTCCAAAACGGAGAAGATAAAAAACTTCAAATATGATTAATAAGGATGCTCCAATGAAGAGACCTGCTGTACCTCCAACTGAAACTATATACAAATAATTACAGCATGCATATATCCAATTTAGCTAATAAAAATCTACCTAATAATATTTATTTTTCTTTCCTTTTGGTTGTCCAAAACGAAGAAGATAAAAAACTTCAAATATGCTTAATAAGGATGCTCCAATGAAGAGACCTGCTGTACCTCCAACTGAAACTACATAAAAATAATTACAGCATACATATTATTCATTTTAGACTAATACAGTCTGGAACATCCATCGAGATAGAATAAAGTATAGACAACATAAACACTATTTTGGGATATGAAAGATGAACGCACTTCTAGTGATGGAAAAGTGTAATCAAAATGGCGACTTAGAGTTGTATTTTGATTTATTTGAAGCCCATAATTTTATGTTTGAAGATTGACGGAATGAAAATGTTTTTATTTCATTTTAATGAAGCTATTTAAAAAAATGGCATTTATTCTCACCAAAACTGACTAGCTCTGTAACCTACCTCACCCACGTACCTTCATAATTTATTAATTCCATTTTACTACAGAAAAATTGCATTCCTATTAAATTAAAATTCCGACATTTTCGAAATATCTTTTAGATAATTAAATCCGATCTATGATGCCTAATAAATAAAAGCAATATTTCTGTTCGCGGGGTCTCTAATATTACGGAAAAGATAAAAAGGTATCCCCTGAGAATTCGATCCAAAAATCTCCATAAACATATTTCTGTTCACGAAGTAATAATTATTAAAACAGTTAACGCGCTTATCTTTCTAGTTTCGAATATCAAGACCGATTTTAACACAAAATTCCGAGAATTTCTCAAGGCACATAATAAACCTACCATCTCTACCAACCACATCCCCAACTAGCCATTCATAAAAGTGTATTTGTTGTGAAGTCCTCATGATCGTCTATTGTATAGTCCAGGAGACAGTAACGATTTTCGGTATTTATTTTCCCAGTCAGCAAATACGGATAGAGAATTGTAGGGTTAGCAATTTTAAGCAAAATTTATATATATATATATATATATATATATATATATATATATATATATATATTTAGAGGGGGGTCCGATGGGTTGAAGCCGAAAATGCATCAGAACATACGAAAAGACGGATCGTTTTCTTCAGCGATAGAAATAGTTTTAGTAGTAAGATATATACTGAAGTTAAGTAAAAAAAATAGTCTGATTAATCTGTGAGTATGGATAATATATTTGGCAAGTGCATAAAATACACTTTCAAACGAGTTATGTACACAATTATTTCTACGACCACAATTATTTAAAGTATGTTCCAGGTGTTTTGTATATTAAAGTGTACGCATAGGACACATAAATAAAATCATATATCACAATGTTTCACCTAACCAGTTGGTTTATTTATAGAAATAAAACATAATAATTGAAGATATTACAGAAGAAAATAGGGAAATAAATTATATTTCCTTTTACACTTTTATATAATAATTATTTTATTTAGAATTCACGAAACATTTATTACTTTACATTAATTATAATTATTGTTAGTTTCGTTATGTCAAATCATTTATACTAGAGGTGTGATACTGCTATAATACTGCTAAAATCATAGCTAAATTTTCATGGAAACACTGTACTTTTGACATTTGCAATACTCCGACGCATATGAATTATTGATGTAATCTCATGATTTTACAGTAATAGTTTTTGCAATTTTAGTGTGATTTTTAGATTATTATGGTTATTCATTTTATTTGGTTTTGATCTTTTGCGCCTTTAGAGTATTTGTCTTTTATAGTTATAGTTTTTAATTTGAATTTTAATATTGTGGTCTATTTATATTTAATTGCTGCTTTTCGACTAGTGCTTTATTCTTTTTGTGTTAAAATAAGCTTTATAACCATTAAGTACATGCTTCTAGTTGATATCTACCAAATCGTCATCGGGTGCTTGCAACAGTGGGAAAAAATTTATGTTTTTTTTTGGTGTAAAGTTAGACGCCTTCATTTTTCTGGTAACTTATTTTTAGTTATTTTTTACTTAAACGGATAGCAATACGTCCTGGTTCGGGGTGTGACTGTTGGGTTTTAGCTATCTGAGCCAAATTGTCGGCTAAGTGTCCTCTTTTGGGGCATCCAGAACCGGAAACTATATAGTTTTTTTTTAAATATTTTTGAATAGGTATGCAGCTTTGATGAGGGCTTTAGGAAGATAACCTAAGACTGGAACACTGACTGCTATAAATGCCGTTTTTAGAGCACATTTCATAGAAAGTGATTTCATTCTAGCAGGAACTAGGAAACGTTTAAAAAACATGCTGTACCAGATATTACTTTAAGACCTCGTCTCTTTAAGTTATTATTACTTCATTCTAATGCATATATTAAAATGGTTTTTAACTTGTGCCCTTATGATTAAAAGATTTAGGTATTTTAGTTATGTTATAATAGAAATATATGATACATTGTATTGACCTACTGGCCACTGGTCATTCCACTTTTACTCCCTTGTTTCATAAATTGTCAAATTATTTAAAAACAAATACATACCTAGCTATTTTCTGTAAATTACATTAAAAATGTAAAAAACGTATTTCTCATCTATTAAATTGTTATTAACGATAAAGAATATTTTCAATTTATTAAAGCAAAAATAAAACCTGACTCGATAACTTAAATCAGTAAAAATAAGTTGCTTGAGATGGGGTCGTTTTTATGGAAAATTTTAGTGTTAATACTTTACTAATAAAACTACAGTTAATTTATCTTATATATATATATATATATATATATATATATATATATATATATATATATATATATACACAACGGAAGAGTTAATTGGATTTTCTTCTTGTTGAGTTTCAAAAATAGTAATTTAACATGATTTAAAAACAAATACATGAAATGGGCAAAATAGGCCTGCAAAGGCACTTTATTGTGCACAATCTCACCTGTATCGATGTGACGTAATGCACGAATTCAATCTGACTTACTTTTGTTAATAGATTGGCGTTCCATTTTAAATATACAGTTCACTGGGAATAGATTATTTAAATATACACGGACCGGGAAAACAAGTACGAAAAAAATTCACTGGCTCCTGGACTAGTACTGTATCGAAGGAATTTTATGAATGAAACAATATACGACCCTAATACAATTACGGTCTAGTTTAGTTCCGCTGTTGTCAGACGTTATTTTTTTTTTTTTTGACAATTTAAATACCTAAAAGTATTTCAAGCAAACGCAATAATATTACTGCAGTTAAAAACATCGCAATCTTGGCATCAATATTTTAATTTTATCCAAATATTGCATTTCTGTCGAGGATCATCCGCGTTGACTTCAGAAATTGTGTAATCTGTCTTGGTTATATATATATATATATATATATATATATATATATATATATATATATATATATATATATCTATAGTTAAAAGCACGTAAACTTGGCATCAATGTTCAATCAGATTATTGGATTTCTACCGCGGACACCAACGTTCATTCTTCAAAAATTTTGTAAATAATCCTATCTGTCTTGGTTATATATCTATGCTACCCAACCTACGACAAATTGAAGTCACAAAATAGTAGTTATCGCAACAAGTGCTTACCCGCACTCCGCTGCGCGTCGTGCGGGTAACGCAGTTTCGTGCGTAAAAGTGCTTCTAGCACGTGTTACGATCAACATTTTTTCTACAAGCGCATTTATTTCTAAAATAGAGAATTAACCTGTATAATGACATTAGGTACAACATACAATTTAAGTATATATATTAAACCGATGTTATGTGCTGAATTGGTGTAGTGGTTAGGGTTTCGGGCTCATAACGCAAAGATCTTAGGTTCAAACCCGGGCCTCGGCCGTAAGTATACCTTGCTTTTTTTTTTCAATTTATATTTATCTGCGTGCGAGAAGATAAACTTCTCGCACTCGAAAGAGTGCGAGAAGATCATCTTCTCGCACGCTTGTAGAATAATTCATTAAAATGGGTCTAAATACCCGAACCCGCGGACTCGAAATGCATTTATTTATTATATTTTTAACCGACTTCAAAAAAGGAAGAGGTTCCTCAATTCGTCGCAATATTTTTTTTATTTTTTTTATGTATGTTCAGCGATAATTCTTTTACACGGTGTCCGATTTCAATGATTCTTTTTTTTGTTAGAAAGGGGGTACTTTAGAAGTGGTCCAATATAAATTTGGTCAAAATCTAATAATTGGGTCCATGAGAAAATCCTCAAACTCTTCATTGTTTATGTATGTTTAGCGATAACGCTTTACCACCTTGTCCGATTTATATGGTTCTTTTTTTGTTAGTAAGGGGGTACCACAAGAGTGGTCCCATATAAATTTGGTTAAGATGTTGTGGTGGCATCTGCACGTTTTTGAAGTCGGTTTTTTTGAATTTTTAATTTCTAATACATGTGTATCCAGTCTAATTGATTATTATTATTATTATTATTATTATTATATTAAATTTAGTCTGATTCAGTTGCTTTCGAATTCAGTTATATTTCAAGTTCAGTATGCAGTACCTCTTTTAAATCGACGCTCTTTCTAACCGACGTATATCCTACAATACCTCCTGGCTCCCGATCACTGACACGTACCGACGATCAACATCCCGCCGCCCTACTTCCCTAGCTTTTTATGTCCCGACGACCTATCTCTCGAACGTTTTTCACGTCGCGACGCACAACGTCCCGCCACCCTACTTCCCTACCTTTATACGTCCCCAACACTGTCACTGCCTAAGTATTTCCTACCTTATATCCGTCCTGACGACCTATCCCACGAACAAAATCGCCTCCCGACGATCAACGTTCCACCGCCTTACTTCCTGACGCTTGCCGTCTCTAAATAGTTCCTTCATAATATCCTTGACGACACCCTTCATCGCGTAGCACCACCTAAGTATTTATTACCGTATATCTGTCCCGTACCGTAATAAATATATTTCTCTCCGCCACGACGCAAGGCGACGCTCAACGCTGTGGCGTACCCAAATCGACGCCATCACAAAGCTAGATAAAATTAGTACATAAAGTCTAATTTAGACGAACCTAATGTCTGTATTTTCAATGGTGAGTCGAAAAAGTTTAATGTAACTTTCTTTGCGATATCGCCGGGATCTTGTTTTGAATAGGGGCCTGACATTTGCTTCAAAATATCAATGTAACCCAATAAACCACATGGCCTTCGGGCATTCACTCCGAAAGCCCGTTAAGTAAACATATGTTTTTAGATGGGTGAATTTGAGTCATTTCAATAGAAAATATAACTATCAATATTTTAAAAACATACAGAGGCGTATTAACTTGGATAAATTACCTGAACCTAGATGGTAAAATTTATTAGTAAGTTAACCAACTGGTGAATTGACACTGTTCGTTAGTTCGAGGGGGCACCTATACTAGCCACCGATTCTACTAGGTTTAAACCATAAAGTATATGTGAACATCAACACAGTAAGTTAACCAACTGGCGAATTGCCGCTGTTCGTTAACTCCGTCAGTCATCGCCTCTATACTCGTCGAAATGAATACCTAAGAAAATACAATCCTGTGTATATCTAGCATAGAATCATGCTAAATAAAATATAAACATAAACACAGTAAGTTAACCAACTGGCGAATTGGCGCTGTTCGTTAACTCCGTTGGTCATCAAGCTAAATAAAATATGTCTTGATAGCAAATGAACATGGTTTCGTTTGAGCGGGACTCAAGTGAGATCTCAGTAAATTGTACCAATTGTAATATACGTTGCATATTGCATTACATTTAAAGTATGGAAAATAAATATAAATTTTTGGTTTTATTTACCAATTTGCTCCAAACTTTGCATCGAATCCTGGTTTATCTTAATTAATATTATCACAACGTGCGTATATAAATTAATCAGTTCATTAACTAGACGATCACTACATTAGGCTTAATGATGATATAATAACCCCATGGGACTGCAGTGCCCCCATGCTGAAACCCTGAAGAGGAGGATAGTTACTCGAATACGGCTGACGTGACAAAAGCCAAAATTCTACAGCGGTAGACAATTGCTGCGTTTGAATATCCACATCCGATGCATTTTTTACATCTCGAGCCGTTTGTTTATCCACATCGGATACATTTATCCTACTACATGTACGTATATTGAATCACGTGATCTAAGATTCACAACATCTCAGATGCGTTCGATGTGGATATTCAAACGCAGCAATAATAGGTTTGTTCTGGTTTTCAAAATGAAAACGGGTTTAAAACTGCGCCGGACCGTGTGCGTAAAGGCAAAAAATCCGCGACTGTGATATTGTCGGATAACCAGAACACATAAAATTTATACGGAATTGTACGCTTGCGCGATGTGGTGTTTTGGTTATTGTTTGTTATAATAATGCAGTTCCTATTGAAAGCTCAGCTTCAAATACCATTGGAATGTATATATTCATCATTATCATCCTCATCACATTTTAACGCAATAAAAAAAGAGAATAATTAAAAAAGCAAATCAAATATTTATAACACTTCAAAACGCATGCCCGTGTCGATTCACACTCCGAAGCATGAATACATTTTGACTGTTTACAACAACCACGGATTATTTCGGATACAAAACCAGAACACTGGACTGAGAAGTAGTCTGAAAATAACCAGAACGCTTTTTATCTACTACGCATGAGCCCAACAGTTGTGGATCGTTATTTTTGAAATCTAGAAGAGACCTATCGAGTCGCTACCCACTAAACATGAAACATTACCAGTATTTTTTGTAACGTTTCTCGTAGAGACTTTTCTTGATATATTTTTAAAATGGTACTAAAATATCCCATTGATGTTTAAATTATAACATCATATTTATTATCATTCCTCGCATATATCCACAAATGAAGTTTTATGTACGCTGGAATACTTGAATTTGCAATTACATAAACGATTTTTGTACTTCTTTTTAGTTACTTCATGTGACAAACATTTAACGACTTTAATTTATATAACTCACAATAATATCGCATACAGGTCAGCACAGTAATGTGTAAAAGTTACACATCTTTAAAGATGGCTATCTTTAGTCTTTACATCGCAGACCTGGCAGACTCAAGGGCCGGTTTTTCAATGTGTAGTTAACTCTGACCTTGAGCTAACTAAATGTTAACTAAAACATTTCTGTTTTTCAATTGATAGTTAAACACTGAGAGCCAACTTTAACCTTACTTTTAGGATACTGTTAACCCATTGTTAAGAGATAATCATCACTTTATAACCAACATGTTCTTTGACATTATGAATGCTTTAAATATTGTTAATGCCTACAGTAGCGAAGAAGAAATAGTGAAAAGGCCGAAAATAATTTGACAGAGGCCTAATTTTATGGAACAATATTTTAGTTTAGATTTTTTCAAAAGATTTGGATTGTCAAAGTGGACTGTTGAGATGATCGTTGATGAAATTCGGGCCTTACAATTAAATGTTGACTCTGGTTAAATAATAGATTCTTGAATAGATTTATAGAAAAGTTCCAAATTTCAATAATTGAAAATTTGTCGTCTTCTTAAATCTTTATAGGTTAACTTTCTTTTTTAGTTTGAATATCATATGAAACTAAAAAATAAAGTCATTCATCGAGGTTTAAAAACAACAGTAGAATACCCACGATGAAAGATAATATTCACCGGAAGAATACCACAGAACACATAAAAATACAACGTTGCCAAATTGAAATTCATTTAAAATCTAGGTCAATTAACAAGAAGTACAATTTGCATTGAAAACCGCTTTTTATTTTAACTAGAGGTTAACCTTCAAGTAGAAGTTAGTTAAACTCCAAGTTAACACTACATTGAAAAACTGGCCCTTACTGTTCGTCCCGCGTTCCTAGATGGAGATACCAATGATCGCTTTCTACTTACGTAACCGGTAGTACTGCATTATGGAACAGTCTGTTGCCTGGTATTAAGTATTTCATCAAAGTTCTTAAGTTTACCTTCGATATTAATTTAGACCATTGTATTATCATACTTTTTCTGTATAATTTCCTGGGATTAGAAGTTTAACTTGTTTTCTAAGCTTTTAACTTCACATTAGACATTATTTCTATTCTGTTTTATATAGATGAAATATTTAAATTATTTATATAACATAGTCCATATAAAATTTAAAAGATAAAAATAAAAAGGTATGAACTGTATCGTATTTGGAACATCACGTTTGGTTCATTAATATGATTTTATTTTATGGGCTTTATAATAACATCTACAAGAAGTAAAAATACTTTCTTGGATATAACAGGAATGTCACATCTGGTGCGTTAAAAAGACATCATTTTTGGGAACTTCCAGTAACGTTGAATAACGTAACAAGGTAGCACTATAATATCACTGGAACATCTACATTGTTTCATCACAAAAGTGAACGTCCCTATTCTTGGCTTAGACGGTTATGAGTCCGTCCTATAGATGAAAACAAAAGTAAAAATGAGAGTTACAATGTAACAATGTGATGTAAAGTTTTCATTAATTTAACGTTTTTATGCATAGTGGGTAATGTAAAGCGTGCCATTTAAACCATCCATGGCCAATCTTCGATGTTTCAGAATAAACTTAATTGTTTTAAATATACCCAGAATTATGTAGAGTTTGAAATATGAATTACACAAGTCGAGATACATAGGCCTAATTCACAAAGCAACTTTATATATCTGAATGTAAATCTTTATTGATATCTTTAAGGATTTACATGTAGGTAAATATTTAAAAATGCTTTTAATTACAAAGCATCAAACAGCCTCCCAAACAACACACATAGTTCAATGGACGTCCACTTTAGATCCATTTGAGGACCAGAACGTGCATATCCGTATTCGGACATCCAGTGTACGTCCGTTTATGATCATTAATTTGACAGCTGCATATCGATGTCCAGAGGACGTCTGTTTTTGGACTTAATTTCAAGTTTAATTGATAAATTAAAACTATTACATTTCATTCAATCAGCGGAAGTTTGAAATCTTATTGTATTATAACCGTATCTAGTAAGAATTTTTCAAGTGGCTCCTTGGTCGAGGTCGCCTAGCGCTTGAATGCCCAGAAAGACAATGTACGTGTCGTGAGTTCGATACCTGCTCTGGTCAAGTGATTTTTAATACAAAAAAATGGTGTATAGCGGGTTGCGAAAATAATAACTAAATTATTAATATTATAAAATAGTGTGTGGTGAGTTGCGGTTGTGTAAAAAAAGTAAATGGAATATATAATCCAGAATTGGACGTCCTATGAACGGTCAACAGTGTGCCATTTGTATACTTCACTTGACGTCCATTGGACGTCGGAAGTCCGGAAAAAACTCATCTTTGGACGTCCAGACATCCAAAATTGTATATCGAATGGACGTCTAATGGGCCTATTTATGGGCGGACGTGGATTGATGCTAAAAGACGTGAAGAGCAACGAAAGATGTCAAAGATTGTGTAATAATAATAAAAAAATAAAATAGACAATAACAATTACGCACCAACCAAATCCAGTAATGATCTGAGAACTATCCTTTTAAATCTGGTCGTAGGCAGGCCTATAATATTGATTAAAACTTCATTTTCTGAGGATTTCATAGCTGAACTAAAACAACAACAATTAAAAAGTTGGCAAAATATATCGTCAGTATTCTGATGCAACCACTGAACTGGAATATAACTAGTTCAGTTTACAGTAGTGTTGGTTAAAGAAAATACTGCCGAATATGAATAACATATGAAATATAAAAACCCTTTTTTATCCAATACCACTTTGTATTCTGGTTCTATACACGATGGTAAGCAATCGCATACTAAACCTGGTTTATTTAAGCCAGATCCTTTTGCATGTAATCTATTAACAGTTTCTAAAACATAGAGTATAAGTTAGTACAGGAAATTAACATAAGGTGCAAGTTGATACAGGCAAGTATAATGTTCAGATCATTGATCTGGCAACCTAGGGATACGACATGCGTAAACGAAAAGTGGGACCGGTCCGCCATTACTGTGAGTGCAAATTGTCAAATTTTATAGGTTATATTTTTAGTGTCATTTGTGTAATTAAATTTGAATTTAATTTGTGTTTGAGCAAATTTTGAGTGTTACAAACTTATAAAGTATATAATGCCTTGCTGTGTTATACGTTCCTGCTCTAGCGATAGACGTTTTTGTGAAAAATCGATTGGAATAACGTTTCATAGGTTAGTATCAAAATTATAAATATTATACAGGACAGTATTATGACAGGTTTGTATAAAATTTGTAAAAGTATGCTTTTAAAAATGCAAAAAAAATTATCTATCAACTGTTGGGCCTACCTATATTGGAATAATACTTTTTCATACGAAATAATATTTATAGATTTCCAAAAAATCCTATAATACGTAGCGCGTGGATACAGTTTGTCAATAAGTATAATTGGTAACCTTCTAAATTCAGCAGTATATGTTTCAAGCATTTTCTTGAGAAGTACATTAATCGTACGCCATTTCGTTTATCAAATTTAATTTATAGGCATTTTATATTCTTATTTCTATTTAAATATAACCTACATTTGCTGTCCTTCCACCAATTTTATTTATTAGTTCTACAGCTGATTGAAAAGTAGAGCTTCATGTTTTGTGTATGCATGAGTATTGTTTGTTTTATTATAGTTAATTTAAAACAATATTAATATACCTTCTTAATTACCTATAATTTGTTTCAGATTAGTGCGTTTAAAGGAATTGGTGAAAATGAAGCGATTCGCCAACTTTGGGGATGTGCCAGAAAAGTGACATCAAAGTTATTCAACGGTTCCAGAATAAAGCATTAAGGAACAACGTCAATGCTGCACCCTGGTACTGCCACAATACTGATCTTCATAGGGACCTTAAAGTGGAGACTGTTGAAAATACAATACAAAAATTTGCCAGTAGTCACCAACAACAACAACTGTTCGAGCATGGAAACCTCGAGATTATCCAGCTCCTCAACAATGCCAAATCTAATAAGAAGACTCAAGAGACCAAGCCTTTTGAGTTCAGTGATGTTAAAGCATAGTGTAGTGCAGTTAAGTGATTTAGACTCTAAGGTATACTAGATAGTAGAATATCAATTTGTGAAGTTTTTCATTCCTTGATAAGTTAGAATAAAATTTCTAATTGATTTTAATGATTAGATTGTAATAATCGTAAATGTTTCTTTACTTGGGGCATTTATTAAAAAAAATGTTGCAAGACGCACTATACAAACTTAAATATCACATTTTCAAAACTTTTGGTATTTTATCAACAATAATTATAAACGTCAGTTGGCTACTCAGTACTACACTTGTCAACTACGTTTCCTTTTTATGATAAATTTAAATTAATAATATGCCAAAATAGTGTACCTTTAATGATTTTGTCATGAATATTCGCGAGCTGCTTGTATGGAGTATCAGTGACAATTTCCATGCCGACAAGTTCCAAGGCACCAAACATTCAGTGCTGTGTTTCGACATATTCCAACACATGGCATACTATGTTAATATATCTTTTGATATTTAAACTCTTCTAGCTTGGTAACCATGTAGAATTGGATATTTGTGCATAGGACATTTTATGCTTGAAATGAATTCAGGAATATGATATTTAAGTTTGTATAGTGCATATTATGAACATACTGTATATAAGTACTTATAATAATAAACATTTAACATCAATACTCACTTAGTTTTTTTTTAATGAGACTAGCAACAAAACCATAACCGTTTGTCTAGTATTAAAAATAAATATCACTCATATATATGAATAAGAAAATATTAAAACTTTATTCCTTGTACAATTTTATTTAATCACAGTACACATTATTTGCATTTACAATATTTGCTTGTCGTTCATATGCCCCAGTCTGTTTTGTTCATCATTTCTAGTGGCTTTTTCTGCTAAACTTTAGTCCCTATTCTACCTTCACGTAGGTAATGAATTATTCAACCATTTAGTCAACAAAGGGGTTTTACTTGTTTTACAGTAAGATACTTATCTGTAATGTTCAAGTTTTAGAATTTGAACTTGGATTAGGCCATTTTCGTCAATTTTGTTCTTAGAACTTTTGGAAAAACACTTGGGAAGTACTCTTACAAATTTATTTCTTATTTTGCCTAGCGAAGAAATTGTGTATAAGGAAATATTCTGGTTTTTACCTCAGTGGTCAAGAAAAACGCTTACAGTGGATACTTTTCCTAACTCGATAAACATTTATTACCTAGATGTTGGCCTCCCTTTATCACCAGCCTACAATTTCAACTCTTCTGCTGTTAACTTTAACTTCATCTGTGACTTTAACTATGATTGAGACTTCAACTTTATCTTTACATTCTTTGTCTGACTTTCAATCATACATGCATGATTATTGTGCACAGATCAATTAAATTGGACCGGCATGCTTGTGGTGCATGTTGTGTGTTACTACGGTAGGCCTTTACATAAGTAGCCATAATCTCTGCAGATGGTGAGAAGCCCAGCTCAAACCAACTACCATAATATCGTCATTGGATCTATAGATCTCAAGTAAGATCTCTTCATATTTTACATTTGTTAGAAGTGCACCAGCACATCGCTGGTTGTGGCATCGCTGATTTACTGAATGTCTTGCATGAAGATATACACCTTTCAGTCTAAATCTACAAAAGGACCAAGACCAAGTAAGATTAATCCACATTTTGATTTCCTGAATAGTGCATCTACCTACACAGAGATTGCTTATTAGCCATTTTCCGCGAGCCTTGCATTAAGTTTCGTATCTGATTATCGAGCTTTTAGTGTATGAACATTTGTTCTTAATTTCGAGAAAGCTGGAGTGCGTTTAGAAACCTCGTACGGCGCGCCTGACCACGTACATTAGAATAGGGTCCAGACGCGCCGTGCGTGGTTTCTAAACGCACTCCAGTTAATTAAAGTAAGTTTAGATTTTAGATTACTTGACATTTGCGACCTTGTACTTTCCGATTTAAAGACAGAAAGCATTGGGCTCATAAAAAAACGAAAAACTAAAGATTGGGCTATTTATGTGCCCTAGTGCAAACGTGTGACGACTGATTCAATAAATCGAACTCTGTTTACTTTTGTCGCTTATGTGAACCAAACATGTACTATTTATTTTTTCTGTGAATGATTTCAACGCTTTAGGGTTAATTTCACCATTGTGTTAAAGTTTAAACTATTAATTGAAGATTAAAATTACATTTTATATAAAAATGTCATTTTAAACTTCGTTAAACCCAATGGTGGAATCGGCCCCAAGTTATGGTCATTGATTAGTTGCAATTTTGCAAATAATATATTCTCCAGCGCTTAATAGCCACTTGAGTGATAATTAAATCAGTTATATTTTATTTCTTTCATTTACTTTATTCAGCACCTCTCGGCTGAAAACCGGGCATATTTAAGCTTTTAAACCCCCTTCTTTTATAACCTCGGCCTTCCACCACCTTTTAAGTCAATGTCTATAAAAAGGAAATTCATTTTTTTATAATTCAAATAATGATGCTTAACCAGAAATAGTACAATAAAAACTTGTAAATCCGGTTCTGCTCTTCCGCCATTTTAGTGAGTGCAAAAGCCACGCCTACCGGTCCCACTTTTGTATATCAAAAATAATACATATGACGTATCCTTACGTTGCCTTATCAATGGTTCAGATGAATAAGTAAATTAGATTTGTTTGGCTGGAACAAGTTTCCCCTCCATTACAGCTTTGTTTATGATTCTTTAATGATTGTTACTGACATTACACTATGTTACACGAGAAAAAGTTTGAGAGGTATACAGGAATTCTTTAAATGATATTGGGGTCTATTCTGTAACAATAGGCATGACAAAATAAGCGATACGCCACCTACAGTTTTAATTTGAAACCTTCCAGTGGGCCATTAATGTTTTGTTTACTCATGTGATTCAATCATAATATAGGTTAATCTTACGGTTTCTGTTTGTATATGGTGTTTTAAAGACGTTTAATTGATAAAATTATTGTTTATTTTATCAAAATGAACCATCACTGTTGTGTTCCCATGTGTTCCTCTTGGGTAAAACTAAATAAAGAACTTTGTTTTCATACATTTCCCAAAAAAGGACAACGTGTTTTGGTAGAAACAAAATTAGGGAAACGAGAAGCTGTTGATCGGAGGGAGGAATGGATAAGAAAATTAAAAATTGGAAAGCCTGCGAGTCCGTACATGAGAGTATGTTCATTGCATTTCTCTGAAAACGATTATTTTTATAGAGGTTAGTATTTAGTCGTTTTTTGTGTTTCCGTATTAATAGTTTTTGTTTGTAGGGGACAGCTCTAAATTACATAGATTAAAATTTAATGCAGTACCGTCTAGGAAGTTACCTTTGGAAGATAAAATAGTATTATGTATTTAGGTTATGGGTTAATGTAATATAAGGTAAACATACTTTTGCTAAATAAATACACTGCCACTATCTATAAAAATGTTTAATTAATACATATATAACCAACACTAAAACTAACAAAATCCTTTACACACTTTAAAAACGAAAAATTCAACACCTAATCTTACGAAAAACCTATGGCATGTCATATGAAAACAAATGTAAACAAACTATAAATGGCCCAGCGGAGGACGAAAAAGTGACCGGTAGAGGCGCTGGAGTCTAAGCTTTTTTCGCCTATTCCTTTATATTTAACGGCCTTTAAAAATATTGGCGGCCTATAAAAATATGTTTGTATTCGTTAATTTACTTCTGTCATAAGTAAATTAACGAATACAAACATATTTTTAAAGGTAGCCAATATTTTTAAAGGCCGTTAAATATAAAGGAATTGTTACAGAATAGACCCCATTGTTACGTAGCACCCTGCAGTAGCCTGCGGCTGTTACAGGAAACGTACGAATAGAGAAAGAAGTGGAATGTTACTCATCGCCCTACAGTGTGCTGCGGTCGTCATAAGTAAAAGTACAAGTAAAAGAAGAATAGTCCAGGAATGTCTGGAAATAAATATGGTACGTATGATCTAAACACCTCACCTAAACATATCTAGTTTATTTTTTCATCTGATGTATAATGCAATTCATTCATAAAGTTCTAGCTTTGAAAAAAATATTCTGAAATATATTCCATGTATTTCATTCATAAAAAAAGTAAATAATAATGGCGGTACATTTTTGTCAGTCATTTTGATTTTTATCAAGTGAAAAATTTATCTAGAATCAGATTTTCAATAAAGAAACAAATCGCAGACTATCGAAACAAAAGACTGAAATTCTATTTTCTACTAGAACCTTCTGTTGTGATAGTTATTTATGTACCAGTCAGTAAAGTAATTCTTTATCGAACTAGACTGAGATTATTAGCCGAGCTAGAAAAGCGAGCGAGGCGAGTAACAGGCGAATTCGATAAAGATACTTTGCTGACGTGGTCCATACACACTTTTATCTCCAACCATAAATAATCATAATTAATAAAAGAGAAGATATTATAACATCACATTTTAGTATGACAAAGTAAACAGAAAAATAACAGCGAATTCAAAACAAATCAGTTACAGACTATTTCTATCAGACGGTCATGGCTATGTTGATTATTATTAGCGGTAGATAAAATATTTGATTTTTACAGGGAGAGTAAGTGTTTACACCCTCAAATCGCTATGGTAATGTATGGCTTTATTGACGGTTGGCGATAAAGTACATTATTCTACGCTCTATTCAACTTAAACGCAAGTAACGCTTAAACACAACTAGCCCTATGGCCACAGCATGATACTCACAATTCCGACTGCTATTGGCCAGCCCAGTGACCCCGTTTTGAATGTTTCCTACCCTCTAGCTCAGGGGTTCTCAACCTTATTAACGCTGCGACCCCCTTTTTAGGTTTTTGGCGACCCCCTTCTAATAACATCGTAAAGTAGGCTTTCTTGCACAAAAAAATAGCAATAATTAATTGTTATAAAACATGTTACAATAGTAAAAAAGCCACCACTATTCAAAACTTTATTAACAAGACGTTGGTGAGCATTAATTTATTAATAATTAATAAATGATCCGGTTATAATAGTATCATGAAAGTAATTTTCAAATCATTTTGAATCCTTCAATATCAAAGCAGGCAAGGACTACGCGTGGTGTATCATGGAGGAAGGATAATTAAGAGTTGCCGTTTCTTTGTATAAATATGGCAACATGTTTGCTATCAGCGCCATATGGGAGGGATTTGTCCAACTATTTCTTAGTCGGTAATATAGATACCTACATATTTTATTTCATTTAAAAATTAGCGGGATTTTGTTTGTAACTCTGCTTTAATTAGTATAACTAAAATTTTGCATTTTTATTGGCATTTCTTACAACACAAATGTAAAATTTTATGACCCCTAATTTTAGGAAGGGCAAAATAAATAATGTAATATTAAATAACTGTATTATCTATTGTATCATTAAAACTAATTTATAATACATTTTTTAAATAAACAATATTATAATAAAACAACTAAAACTTAATTTTCTGTAAACTTGGATAGGTAACAAAACACATGAAGGAGAACCATCCGTATAATCTAAAACAGAAAAAATTCAAAGCAGTACCTTAACTTCATATCATTTTGAATCTCTTTTTTCTTTTAGACATTGTCACAATTTTATACTATCATTATAATATTTTATAATTAATAATGATAGTCCCTTCATCTTTTTTAATTAGATGTAACGTGATCTTGTTATTTTATCTATTTTTATAGTGTTTTAAGCTCTTATGATTTTGGGGAGTGGATTAGGTTATTAAACAACTCGTATTACTTTGAAAAATAATGTTGAGCGCCACTATATTTAAAACTAACTAAACTTTATCGATTATTGATACAAATATAGAAAATCACTAACCATTAAGATATTATAATTAAATAAGGTTTCAGATAAGATAGCGACAAATTCTAATTCACAGAGACTTACTTATTCAAATTTAAATGATTTATTCAAGACTCATCTGTTAAATAATAGGTAGTATTTAAGGAGTGAATGTAAAGGCCTTCTTCAAGGGGATTCGTATGATACACTTCGGATATCACCAACTCTTAAGTATAAATCTTCATAGGTAAACTTAAATCTCATAAACTTCTTTAGATGACTCGAACTAAACCTCTTGATATACTTGAAATAAACTTATGTAGCTGGAACTAAACTTCTAAGTTTCTATACTTCTAAACATGCAGCTTCTAAACTTCTAAACAATCTCTCCTACAACAGAACCATCTAAATACAGCCAGGCTAAAAGGAAAAAGGTAAAAATATAAAGAAAGGGACTAGGAAGTTTATATAGGAAACAGATAAGATGCTTTTTACTATTAAATGAACAATGCTAATTATTAAATGAATAGCTTCACAGATACCAAAATTAATATGAAAAGGAAAAATCTTATTTAACATATTTAAATATAGTAAAGCATAATATCTCTTTCCTAACAAAATAATATATAATATTATATAAAATGGATTATCATGTGTTATTCAATGTTAAGGTTATGTTTCAGATTTGACATTTTAATTAGAAATTCTTGTACAAAATATATATTTTCAACAAAATATCGGTAGGAAACTTACCTTTTTAAAATCAGACGGTCATTAAAAATATTAAAGACAATTGGTACATCGGATGTCCAAGATAAAAGATAATTAAAAATTCAAATCAACTTGCTCGTTGACAGATATAAATCGAAATGAATTATCAACTTTTGACACAAGGCATAAACGACAAATGACATTTGTGTAGAGATGTTGGTGTCAAAATAACGAAAACGGTTCCAACCGTTACAATGTTTGGGTCTAAATAACGAAAACGGTTTCAACCGTTACAAGTACTTTTAAAAACAGATGCCTGCGGGATCAAGCTTCGAGGTCCTTCGTTGATTCGCAAATTTTACTTTACTGTTTTCTAATTATAAAATAAAGTTTTTTCTTCCTTGGAGTTAACTATTCATTTGTTTGATTTAAAAATCCAATATCTAATCGTTGTTTTTTAGGTAATAATTCTTTATCATTGGATGAAATTTTGATTGAATGTAACTTTCTTTTCACTGATAATTTGTTTGATGGTATGATAATATTACTTAGTATTACTCTTTAGTGTTAATTTAGCTTTCAAGGGTACCAAAGGCAAAGCCAAAGCCAATTTACACAAAGTATTGTAACCTATAAATGGTTTTTGCAAGTGGAATGATGAAGTTTATGCGGAATCATGTTGTTCCTTGCCTAATATCGGAAGGAAATAAAAAAAAATTTTGTTCTTAAAATTTACAGCATAAATTGGTCAGTAAAATGTACTATTTACCATTACAAACAACGCTATTACAATTGGATATTATGAATTTATTACGAACAGGACATGCTAAAGATATGTTAAAACATAAAAATATCTTTGCTTAATTTTAAATTTAACATGTTTAACTAAAACTAAAATTAAATAAAAGTAAAAGTACTTACCATGTTTTAATCAGCAACCATAACCATATTGTTTTGTTATTGTATCGGTTCGATCGGGAAACAATCCCAATGTTTTTTAAATAATTGTAGTATTTATATAAATATATAATTTTGAAACAATACTTTCCGTGTGTTGCTTTTGTTACTAAGCGAGATATATTTGAATTATTCAGTGTACTTTAAATTTAAATATCATTTTGTTATTGCAAAACGTTAAACGAAAATCCTATAAGAAAATGTTTTCTAATAAAATTTAACTACAAATTGTATGCGCGGATTTGTTGCGCACTAACCTGTTGATATAACGCGCATATGTTATGAGCCCCACTGGTATCTGTGGCCTGAATTATTTTTATTTTTATTTATCACCTTCCCTCGCGACCCTCTCAGACCCGTCCCGCCCCCCTGGGGTTCGCAACCCACTGGTTGAGAATCCCTGCTCAACGTGCTGTGGTCATAGGGCTAATTGTGTTTAGCGTTACTTGCAAACCATACTGTAATACCTTCTACTTACCAAAATTATCTGTTAGACACCGCAGACCTTCTCTATTGCAATATTCTATTTTATCTGAAAAATTGATACATTTTCAAGAAGTAAAAGGTTTAACCATGTTAGAAATAATATGTGGTCAAGGAAAAGCACAAAAATCAATCATTTTTTTATACTTTAAATTCAAACCGTTTGAATCAATTTAAATTTAACTATCAGAACTCGCAGCATACTGATATTAACAATTTATTTTAAAACTATATTTAGTGACTGACATTCATGAATATTATCTCGAATCTCGATGTTTGTACGAGGCATGTTATATATATTTGTATCTTGTTTACGATTTGATTAAACTTATATAGCCAGATAAGTAATAACATTTAGCAAAAATTACTAATCGGATAAATGTAGTGAATAAACAAATTTAATATTAAATTATTCTTTTTTTATTACTTTCATTCGGCGAATTTTATACAAAGTTTTTGTTTTTATAAATTTTATTTAATTTTTCACTAAATTACAAAATTACTCATTGATCAACTAACTCTTGATCAGATTGTAATATTAATAAACTCCCCTTATGGAGTGTTTTTTCACAAAAAAAAAACTTAATTACAATTACCTATTATTTTTATCCACTAAAATTTGACTGTTGAACAGAGTTAGGATGAAAAATGTCGTGGAAAGGATTTCAATATTATTATTATTATTATTATTATTATTATTATCATTTTGGCTAAGTATTTAAACAAGGTTTTATTTAAAATGTTTATCATTAGGCACTGTATATGTTTATCATCGGTCAGTCTATATTATTGATTTTATTTGTAAACGGATTTTCGGTAATGTAACTGACGAGTACTTACTATAAAAAGGCATTAGATGATGCGTACAATTGCATAGAAAAATATGATTTTCTGCATGGCATTGAACAACGCATGCAGAATAACTGTAATGTTTGTGTACTAGAAGTCCCTCATTCTCCCACGGGAATTTACAGCCTCGTTTATATACAGGGACGTTTTTTACATTTTCATCGTTATTTATTTCAATGACCTATAAATGTAATTATGTTAATATAATGCTAAAAATATATCTAATAAAATGAGTTTTCTTGACGAATATGATTTTCTCACTAGTCATACTTAATAATAATGCTTTTTTTACGATATAAGTTACATCTTATACAGGGTTGTTCAAGTATAAATACCTAATTAAAATCAATTCAAACAGAAGAAGGCACCTTTATTTTCAATAAATTAGTAAGCATTTAAGTCAAAATAATGTCTGTACAAGGCACATAGAGGTTCCACATTTCTTATGCGACTAACTCCAAACACTAGATGGGTCTACCGGTGAAATTGTGAACCCTTCATTCATTATTATGGGTGAAACTTAACCAAAGAATCCAAAGATGTTTATTTATATTTTTGGGTATTCTGATTTTTGCGTCTGATTTTAGTGATTTTTTTTGTTGGCTTTTGGTTTCTGTTTATAATTTCTTTTTAGTTATTTGCAAAATTGTGATGTTCTGTTTTTCTATTTCCAACTGTGTTAAGCAAGTTAAAAACGTCGAGAAAAACGTAATTGATTCACCATGCATCAGTTTGCAAATCCATAAACAGACAAATGGGTACAACTAGTTGATAATTAATTTATCGCTGGGCTAGAACCCGAAATTATTTTTCACATAAGAGAGTATACGAGCCCAGAATCATATCATTTGGCCCATTCAATGTTATATTTTTATTTCACTTTAGACAACATTGGTAAATACAAAAGCAAAATCTATTAAATCGAATTATTTTCATAGGCGCCGAATCCTCGGGGTTCTGGGTGCGCAAGCACCCAGAGCAGTTTTAAATTGGGTTAGCATAACGTGGACAAAAATTGTCAATAAGTGAAATGAAGAAGCTGTCGTGGTCCAAGTTGGTATAGCGACAGGATGCCTAGATGTAGTGTCAAGCACAGAAAGTGATACTTTACAAGGCGAGCATGCAAGTTTCAGGGCGACACCGAAGGCGGAGCCGTGAAAGCTTGCGAGCCCTGTAAATACACTTTCCGATTGAGGTGCGTACAATATTTTTTGTGCTGCCACCAATAATTTGGAAATAATATAGAAACAGAATATTTATTGCTTAAAATTTATAACAAAACTTAACTTAATATTTATGTTGAACGAGTAGTTATGCAAAGAACAATTATTAAATGTTGATTTTCCAGTCAATTTAGGAATCATAATATTTGTGTTATCAATAATATTGGATAAGAGCTCGGGAAATTAGGTATTTTACCGAGCAGTTATGTCACTCTTCCAAGCAGTTATGTCAATTTTCCGATCTAGACCGGCAACGATGCACTTTTTGAGCTAAAAAATGATCGAAAAAACGCATTTTCTGAAGTGGCAGCACAAAAAAAAATATTATCGTTCGGAGCTGTATTTTTTGTGATAAAAAAGTCAGACTTGTCATAGACAGCGCGCTGAACTTGGACTTAAGGGTTTATTATTCTTGGTGTATAAAACCCTATGACGTCAAAAAAGAACGACTAATAACGGTCTACAATTATCAAGACAAGAGCTCTGAACATATGCTATTGGGCAAATACTTGAGGGGAGAAGGGAGAATATTTGAAAGTTGCTCCCGATGAAGCACAGTTAGAAGAAAACGTTCATTTGGAGTCAGAAACAGCTCTGTAGTAGTGCTGGCGAGAAACCAGGTCATCTACCAAAAAACGTTCGGACCTGTCAATTTTTGATTTAGGGGGAAACATTTTTCTACCAGTTTCACCCCCTGAGCAAAAACCCTCTATCGAAGGTGAGACTCACCAGTAAAATCTTTAATGGAAAGATGATGAAGCTATTTTTACCTAAATAATAACCCCCAAGTTTTACATCGTTACTATCTGTGTAGCCCATGCAGTGGTTTACCAAAAGTACAAAGCCGGTTTAACATAATTTTTACGTTATTAAAAAAAAGGAAGTATTTGTAACAATTTTAGTTTTATTTCTGTGGCTTTCAATTATTGTTATCAGATGACATTCTTTGGTCACCGTAAAGTAAAGTAGAAATGAAAAATGCTGTAGTAAATAAAGCTACATCTGGTATTAAGAGAAGTAGCATTCAGAAGATATTGAAAAAACACAAGTTTCATCCCTACAAAATACATTTGGTAAAAGAACTTAACAAAGACGATTTTAATAGGCGATTACAATTTTGTAAAATTATGACTGAACGGACAATATATGATCAGCAATTTCTTTTCAACGTGTGTTTTTCAGACGAATGCACTTTTTTTCTAAATGGTACGGTAAATCGTCACAACTGTCCTTATAGATCCGATTCAAATCCCAGAATATTTCATGAAGTGCATGCATATGCAACATTCGGAAAAACTGAATGTTTGGGCTGGCATTTTTGGTAACCGTAACCTAGAGTTTAACCGCAGAAATGTATCTGGAATTATTAGAAAATGCAATTTATCCAGCATTACTGGAATTGATTGAGAATGACGATCAGTACATAGCAAACAACTTAATATTCCACTGTTCGTCAGTATTTGAATCAAACATTTCCAGGTCAATGGATCGGAAAAAGAGGAAGTATTGAGTGGCCTGCACGATCTCCGGATTTAAGCCCGTTAGATTTTTTATGGGGCCACTTAAGAACATCATATCACCCCATAGATACTTCAAAATGTCCGAGAGCGTTTTGGACAAAACCTCTATTATTGCATGGAGGCCCATGGTCAGCATTTCCAGCATTTACTCGAGTAACTGGTAAGCTTTTACAGAAAATACAAATCGTTAAAAGATCATAGCTAGAAAGACAGTAGCGTTTTAAAACCCAGGGGTCATAATCTATGTAACAATACCTCCAGCCTATCCAGCAATTGGACATTTAACAATACGCTTTTTTTTTCAAGAAAACTTTCATAAAATCAACGCTTTAAAATAGCTTTTTAAATACTTTTAAGTGTTGCCTTTAAGTGGTGCATGTAAGTGGTGCCTTTAAGTGAGGTGTGTGGAGGTGGGGGGGGGGGGGGGGAAGTGATAGCCTCCATTACCCGCATAGAGGCCGGGCACCCAACGCAATTTTTGAGTTCCGGCGCCTATGACTATTTTTATTATAATTTGAGACATGCTTATCAACATTTTTTATTAAAATTAATATTAGAAAATTAGAGATATGCACAGTTGTCTAAAATTAAATTAAAAATATAATATTGAATGGACCAAATGATATGATTCTGGGCTCGTACCATCTGTATTTGCAAGGAAAATTCTTATTAATGAATGAATAGTAAAATAATTCACCGTTTAATTCAATACCTACATTACATATTTGTCTTCAGGTAAAAAGACATTTATAAAATATATTACTTTAGTTGTTAATAAAATGTAATATCCTAGTGTCAAGTGGCGGCTGTGGTAATTTAAAATGGGTGTTAAATTTTTTCCAATAATCAATAATTTTGTGAGTTCGGTTCAAAACTTTGTACAAATGCCAATATCGCTGGTTTTAACCGACTTCAAAAAAGGAGGAGGTTCTCAGTTCGTCAGAATATTTTTTTTATGTATGTTCAGCGATAATTCTTTAAAACGTTGTGCTATTTCTATGATTCTTCTACAATTCTTATACAATTGGTCAGGATCTGATGATCTTTGAGAAAATAAAAACTCTCAATTTTTAAGGGCTTCTGCACGATTTTGAAGTCGGTTTTTTAAAATTACTTTTAAAACTTGTATTAATTAAATCCTTAGGTAATAATGCCTACGTTTGGGTCGGTGGCGTAGCGGTCTCACGCGCTTATATTAATTTATAGGCAAATTTGGGGTCATTACTTTTATGTATTTGAAGATTATCGGAATGAAAATGTTTTTATATCATTTAAATCATGCTATTTTGAAGAAATGATATTTATTCTCACCAAAACTGACTAGCTCCACTAACTCGAGATTGACATATAACGTAAAAGTGCGCACACTTTTAGTATCGTCATGGCATCATCTCCTTATTCTATATCAATGATTGGAAATATTAGTATGCCCCGCCCTACATTGTAACGTCACGGCTTGATTATGTGCGATGTACAAAATAACATGATTTAAGTGATTTAGACACATTGTTTATTTTACGGATCTGTTGACGTGTTGACCTCTCTTTTTAGCTACAGGCTTTTGCGAGCTCGTTCGAGCTCACTCAGAATAATGCACCACGGAGACGACGCGATTAGCCAAAGCCAGAGCGTATGAAAACAATAAAATTATTAAAATTGAATTTATATTTTTATGTTATTTATTTTAAAATAATGTGTTTTTATAAAATGTCTACTTCACATTTAAATATAGGAGACTCGGGCAAAAAGGGTCACTTTATTTATTACGTCGATTTTCACTTTACATTTTATTTTCCTACAAATTTTGTATAAAAGAAAAGATCATCATTCGATATTCAATTTGGATGATTTAAAATATTTTTTCTGTAAAAATTTAAAATACGAAACCTTACTTAGTGGCATATGGAATAAAGACGTTTGGACAAAATGAATCAAGTAGGATAAAAATAATCAACTATGAGTTCATTAATTTTATGGGTTTAATAGATAAATTAGACCAACATATTAGTTGTCATTAATACTGAAATCCATTCGACCATTCACTGTTGGGTTCTAATTAACAGTGCTGTTCCTAAAGTGGCGCTGGAAAACAGTAACAAAGCCTACACAGAATACGAGGCTAATAACTTTAGCAGTTGATGCCGATGACACCAAATAAATAAATAAAAATAATACTGAAATAGCAAATATGGAATATTCCTTCAGATTTTTAAAACTAGAGCAAATAGAAAAACGAAAATTAAAAATTTTGTCATAACTTACAAGAGATCCTAGAAAACTTAATTATTAAAAAGAGAAACAAAAACCAAAAGTTTATAAATAACTATTTTATTTTTTCAGAAGAAAGAATTTCTCCTTTGCAGGGGTTGCAAATAAATATTCCGCACTAATAATCGACAAATAACTGATGAGCCCAATTTCTGCAAATATTACACTGC